GTAAGCCCTCACATGGAATCCTCAAGGTCGAAAGAGGAGAAGAGAAACACCCAAAAACACATTACACCGAGAAATGGAGACAGATATGAGAATAATGAACAACAATTGGATAGAACAAGAAAGGAAGGCCCAGGACAGAGTGGGTTGGCGAATGCTGGTTGGCGGATTATGCTTTATTGGGAGTAACAAGTGTAGGTGAGCAAGTAAGCAAGTAACATAGTTTCGCTCTTCTCAACCCATGTAGACAACTGTGGATATGAGTTCAACCGGGAAAATGTCAAAATATTTCTTAGAAGAAGGACAAAAAAAGCCAGAAAATTTTCAGAGGTTTGACACTCCAATCAAGCATCCATTAATAGACATATTGAAATTAACCAAATCTATCAGCCAATAAGAAAAACGATTAACAAGTACAAAGTCAAAGTTCAGGAGAGGAGAGAAAATGATAATGAAAATAAAGATGCAAACAAATACTACACAGTAAATAGATAACAAATAACCAAATTTCAGATCAACAGAACAAGTAATTATTCAATTGTGGATAATTTCTTATAGGTCATCTCTCTTTGAAGTATGTACTAATGATGTTGTCATCCCGAAGAACACTGAAAGATATATGCATTATTACAGTAAGATTCTTAGTTAAAGATTGAGCTACACTATTCAGACGAAGAATTTAGAAATAAATGATAACTACCAATCATTTGGTGAATAATTTGAATGAAATTACTTAAACAATGCACATAGAATAATTTGATTTGATTTGATGGCGTCTATTGTATCAGCTTGAACTAAGTATTCCATTGTTGTAATGAATAGATAGATGTGTTACTCACTTTGTTCTGATGTTCATTTTGTTAGCAGTAAACATCAATAGGATAAAGTTTATTTAATGTAAATTCAAAGGTATCTTTCGACTCATTATTTTGTCAGTGAAGTATTGAATAATCAACTGAATATTTTTAAATATCACTTCTCAAGGCTGATGTTCAATGAAGCTGTTTAGTCAATTACACTCAAAAGGCATGAAATCAATGTGGAATCACCATTAAAACAATATTTACAGCTTGAGAAAATTCCATCTAAAAATCAGTGTACATTTATGTGGTTAAGTTTACAAACCAAACGTAAACCAAATTTCAATGTTAAAATGTCATTTGTAAACAATGTAGAATCCTATGGTTTTTTAACAACAAGTTTTTAACAGTTGAAATAATGAGTCAATTGAATCTAGACCACAATGGAAAACCTGAAAGCACTGAACGGCCATTTCGTCCTAGTATGGGACTCCTCAGCAGTGAGCATCCACGATCCCGCCCCCGGCGAGATTCGAAACCAGGACCTATCATTCTCGTTCGCGAGCGCTTAACCATTAGATCATTTAGCTGGCATCAAACGGTGTTAATGTCTAACTTTAACCAATCCATGGTGGTTTAGCTTCAAGTGACTCCTGATTTCAACTGTTGAAATTACTAAAATCTCTACAAAACCCCTTCCGATAAAAAATTTTTAGTTCAAACTTTCTGTATTCTTTACTGGTTAACAAAAGAATATAAGTGTCTTAATGGTTATCTTGATAGTCATTTAAATTTTGTGGCATAATATTGTTTAACCTGTATTATTTACTACTATAAATTACAACGAAACTATCCCATCTAATAAGTTCTTTAAAATCATCTGTACAGTCATACGATTCGGTTCGAAATGAGCACAAACTAATGACTTATGAGCTGTAAATTCTATAACAGACCATTATTTTAGACCTGAATTATGTATGCAAAACAGATACATGCAACCCATCATTCTTCCATGGACTTAACACTTAATTTTATTACATCCTTTTAATATTTTTAATCTTAATGTTAATTATTGTTTGTTATCACCAATATGTTTCCAACTTATTCTTCATCCTTTTCATACTCATTAAGTGAATAATTATTATTTTCACATTTGATTTCATCCTATTATCTTTCTCGTCAATTCTCGATTATCAAGGAAATTTCTTCGATATATAATATGATGAAATAGTCGTCCACAGACTATTTTATTAGTAAACTAACTTTAAACACAATTCTACAGCTTGAGTAAATGACATCGTTTTAAAATGAAATTTTCTTCATTCAATTGCTTAGATCCTTTTTCAATGATACCATAGGTTACTGCCGTTATTGAACACTGAAAGTTTTTTTTGCATCGATCTATTCACAATGAATAATGATGATTAATTTAGGTAATAAGCACTTTGTGAACGGTGGATTCTTTGGATTTGAAAGTGATTTTCACCCGGAAAATGATATTAGCTGATAAATTATAGAGAATTAAGAATTTCTTAATTTCAGACAGCTTAAAAGTTTATACCAAGAACTCTATATGGCATCATAAACAAAAAAGTAACTATTTCACGACGAACATTGATGAACTATAGTTTAGGATCCTTCGAACAAAATATGCAATATGAAAACAGTTTACCATCTTATATGCATTTAACTTGTGGATATTCAAAAAAAATGTTTGGAAACATTCACTTCTCACCATATATATTGATCCATAAAAATATTCGACCAGTTTTGTAGATACAGTTGCCAGGGTTACAATGGATAATTTGAAATAAATTGAGCATTGAGCAACTTGTTGATAGTCGTAATAATAATAATAATAATAATAATCTACAACCAGTTTTTCATATGAGATTTTCCTCACTCCAAAATATATATTTGATTTATAAACCTCAGTCTAATTTCTTTTCATCTCTTTCAAAGACAAGTAAGAATGAAGTTAAATCAACCACCATGGTGAATCCGCTTGAATTTTGAAATATCTGGTTTATTGATTTGTTCTTGAGTACATTCAATCATTTAGATACACCACCGTTTAGTCAGTTAAAATAAATGTAAACACTAAAGATTCATTAAAGTATCTTTCATATTGTACACTAAATAATTCATAAATTTGAGGTGACCACCATCTCTTAATACTTTATATTGATGGATGGTTATGTTGTAATAATTAGTGAAATTGAAAAAAAACTATTCGTAAATAGAAAGAAATTACAAATTTATTTCGGTTTAATTTCTTTTTCGTCAATACACAATTGATTATATGTTAGTCATTCAGTCAGCTACTACTTAAGACCAAGCACATATGTGCATCAGTCCAAGTTGCCATACCGCATTAGCTCAACATGATGAACACCAGATTTATAGAAGCAGTTAACTCAATGGTGTAATATACAAAAGAAAGATTCTATATAGGACATAGTACAGGAAGAAAGAATTAGTTCGTAGAAAGAAAGATATGAAACGATTTTAATCTCTTAGTTTATAGGAAGACAAAGAGTGGATACACCGATACCATTGTGATCGATTCTAAGTCATGTCGCCCAGAATCTTTAATCGTTGGTTACGATAGTCACGCGGACCCCAACCAAGTAGTTCGCATCTACAAACATGGCTCAGACTAGAAGTTAGTGACTTTACAGACTGATGCGACGTTTTGGTTTGACCACCCCTAACTTTCTTCCAATTATCCCCAACACTAGTCAGCATTGCATTGATTATATGTCAATATTATTGTTTGCATCTCAATCAAAAATATCACTTCGGGGAATGAAAATGATAAATATATATATACATATGTGTCCTTAAGGTAAACTTATTCCTGTTTTCTTTTTCCCTAACAATATAAACTTTAAATCAGGATTAAACTTTTCACTCATTTTCATGTAAATTAAAACAATATGAATAAGGAGAGGTGAACAAGTAGAAATATGTAATGTGTTTTCATACAAACATAGATATTACTATATATATATATATATATATATATATATATATATATATATATATATATATATATATATATATATATATATATATATATATATATATTGACACTCTTAACCCTTCCTTGGGAGAATAAAGTTGTAAAACGAGTTTACTTACTTACTTACTGACTAACGCCTGTTACTCCCAATGAACAATAGGCCGCCGACCAGAATTCTCCAACCCACTCTGTCCTGGACCTTCCTTTCTAGTTCTATCTAATTGTTGTTCATTATTCTCATGTCTGTCTCCATTTCTCGGCGTAATGTGTTCTTTGGTCTTCCTGTTCTCCTCCTTTGGCCTTGAGGATTCCATGTGAGGGCTTGCCTTGTGACGCAGTAGTGTGGTTTTCTCAATGTGTTTCCTATTCACTTGCAGCACTTCTTCCTGGTTTCTTTACTAATAGTTATCACTAATATTTCCATTATTGTGAATATTTTTTACATCCTCTTTCATATATATATATATATATATATATATATATATATATATATATATATTCTAAAATTTTCCAAAGGATCCTTTTAAAACAGATTTATGAGAGTCTCTAAAAGTCAACCTCTCCACTAACCATATCATTTCATGTTTTCACATTTCTACACTTTTCCACGCTGTCATCTCAAGATTACATTGCATTTTAAGCACAAATCGACTGAATCTATTAAGAAAAGATGGTAATACAACTTGTGATCGACTTACGCTTCAAACATTAGCTTGCAATCTCTACCGATTTTGCGAGGACATTGCTGTGATACAGCTGCTATAAACTAGCCTCATACGAATTTGATGGCTCACGGTACACCACTCTACAAGCTCTTGATAACTATAATGAAGAAGATAGTGTTTATTTTTTGTTGTACAACAATATCGTAATCGTAAAACCATAATCCATTAACAGTGACAACTCTTTTAAGGAAACGCAAAGTTTTTAAGAAGCTCAGTAATTCAATCAGCTAATAACGTAAAAAGTTCAGGTCTCACGTTCATTGAAGATAGTATTTGAATCTTTAAGTTTAAGTTGCTTAGCTTCAATAAGCAAAAGACTGTAGAGAATAATGGACTGATATTTACCTAAGTAAGTGAATCATTTTATTAGAATGCAGTCACTTTACATAATTTTTAAGACAAAAAATTAACTTTCTGAAAAGTTTATTTTTTATTTGTTTTTTCCCTTTACAGCAAAACCATACCTGTAGGAAATCAAAATATCAGAGATCCAATCACCACTTCACGCTCAACACATATAACTAATCCCAGTGAAAAATCTCCAACCAATATTGCCACAGTTAATGGTAAGAATGTGACTAAACTATCCTCAATAAGCAACACAAATACCTCATTACCGTTTGGCAATACAGTAGTCAATTTAATGGCTGAAGCTGCACACGCTGTTACTGGAGGCACTACAGGAACCAGTAGTGGTTTTAATGCTGGTCATTCAGTGAATGTATGTGAATCATGTCATAAAACTAAATTCGCTGATGTTTCTGGAAATCCATGTATTTATTGTAAACGCAGAACATGCACCAGATGTGGAGGTCACATGGAAATCAAACCGAATATGGTAAGTGTAGAATACAAATTGAAACATTATAAAATTAAGCAATTTCACAAATTATATTCAAATAAACAAGGATCTCTCTAAATATAGTAAATAAATATATTTATCCTTTAATTTATTTAACAAAACAAACAACTATCTTTTAAGAGGTTCATATAACTGTGAACCACAAGTTCCTTGATCTTCAAAACAGGTTTCTTTTTACTAAGAGGAGTCCCACAAAAGGATGAAACGGTCGTCCAGTGATCCCAAGTTTTCCATGGTGGTCTATTTTTAATTGACTTATCATTTCAACTATTAAAATACAAAAATATTAAAAAGAGTTTTCATCAATCCAGGATACACGTTTCATCCTATTTGTGACTAGTCAGCTAGATGTACCTGCATCTCAAAATAGATGTTCACTCTGGGAATTGAACGCAGAACCGTTTGCTTCAAACTCCATGGCGTTATCCACTTACCTACTGTGTCCTGATAGCCACTTGCATGTAGGATGGTGTGACGTTTAAATTCACTTGGTATTGGTATAGGACGAAACTCACGTAATGTATTCCACTGCTAGCCACTATCCATCTTTGCTTATAACACTTTTGAATTGTTATAAGTACATGATTAAACAGTAAATACATTACTAAGTTGTTGGGGAGTCCAGAAATATCCCTCTTAGATGATTATGGCTCAGTAGCTCTGTAGGTGACGGGTTGGGTGTTTAAAACGAAGAACGCTGGGTTCGGGTTCTTATGTCAATATCAACAGTTGGATGCAGGCACTTCCAATTGACAAATTTTAAATCGAATGAAGCTCACCTCCTGGATTCCACTGTTACCTATTGTTCAGCCTTAATTTGAAATTCTTGACTAAATAACAATATGAAGGCCATCTGGACAGGATATATATATTCCGAAGCCATTGGGCAACTAATGTTCTTAATATGAGACTGATCAATTTCAGTCCTAAATATCAATGATATGATTCAAACAAAAAATGTCAAATGAATTTAAACTTCGCCTTATTACTTAGGCAAATGGCTATCAGAAATCAGTAGGTAATTTGGCGATGGCGTTCTAAGTAAAACGGTACTGAGTTCAAGTCCAGGAACGAACGTCAACTCTTGGATGCAGGTACATCCAGCTGACTAGTGAGAAATAGGTTGAAACGTGTGTCCTGGATTCCTTTGCTAGCCACCATCCATCTTTGCTTAATATTCATGTGTATCAACAACGGATAAATGAAAACACTTACGAATAAGAGTAAACTTACTAAGACGTTTTTGGAGAGATACAGTCTATACAATTCGGAATTCGATTTCTTGAAAAACTGGTACTAACAAAAAAAACAAGTAAAAACTTAATAGAAAATACAAAATGATAATGCTGTTGTTTATAACTTCACTCATATAATACTGGTTGCACCCAGATGAGTAGTTTAAAATATACGACACAAAAGCTTCCCCATCCTTGTTTAGTTTACAACTAGGAACGAGTTTGTATCAGTTAATGGCGAAAATTCATTTTCAAATTAATAATATATGACAGTTGAAAACATGTATATTTAAATCTTGTTTCCTATTTTTCAAGGTTCACTGGGTCTGTAAACAATGCGCACAAAATCTTACATCAGATAGACAAATAGTAACAACATCTGGTGCAAATTTACCTCATCATACGGAATCATCAATAAATAGTAGTATTACTGGACGTTTGGGTGAAAGTATTAGGGATTTTATTTCTAAACCAAAATCATCAGATGTTAAAAGGTATAGTTGTTATTTTGTCTTATTTTTGTTTAAATGGATACTATTTATTTGATAGTATTGAGGTAAAGTACATATAGAAAAGCTTTATGTATAGTAATTAATTTCTAGGGCTTTTTAGATGGATTGAGTTGGATATTCACATGATTTATTAGTGAAAACTTGACCTAAAATATCAACAAACTGTTTTAAATATCAAAAGGGGTTTTTGTGGATAGGATAGTAATTTTAATAGTTGAGATCATTAGTCAATTAAAGCTAGACCACCATGAAAAATTTGAAAGCACTGGATGGTCGTTTCGTTCTACTATGGGACTCTTCAGCAATGCGCATCCACGATGCCACCTCGTGATATTCGTACCCAGGACCTATCAGTCTCACTCTCGAACGCTTAATTATAATTATAATTGTATGACAGTTAAGAGACTATATCATAAGTTTTTTGACAAAACTCAGACTAAACTATAATGTATTTTAGACATTATTAATTATTATTAATAATTAGCTTTTTTCATATCCGACAATGAGATATAGTATTCTAAGGTTATGTATCTTTGATTTCAATCTTGTATTTAAGAGGTCATAAGTGAAACACATTGGCGTGTAAAGTTTCAGACACCAAGATGAAACAACATTTCAGTGCGTTTATACGAATATCCATCAATAATAGAACGAATAGTTTGACAAAAATTGGGCACCGAGTATAGAGAAGTCATTATATATCAAAATTATATTCTGAAATAATCTCAGCAATTGAAATTTAAAATAATTCCAATGTTTCGTCCTGCAAACTTGTTTGAACTTCTTCAGGGTAATGATCAAAATAATCAAAGAAATCTATACTGTGCTAGTTCAATGATATTTAGATGTTGACTTTAGTAAATTGAATAACATGAGTCAATTATATGCGGATCATGTGAAAAAGTCTACAATGTGAAGATAAATGACGGAATGAATTGTATGTGTATGTATGTGTAAGATTGAGTTAGGTGTTATTATACTTTTATATATGAAGGGAAAAACAAAATGTGCAAGTTGAAGGTTGAAAAGTTGTTTCGGAATAACCGATGGGCATGTAAAATAAGAATCATCAATTACATAATTGTATTGCTAAATATAACCTACATTAATTTCAGTCATAATAACAATGCATGTGAAATAAACAGGTTGGATAAAACATGGATCCAATTACTTGATAACGAATATTTTCTATGTAATTGCTAGTTGAATATCATCCTTTCTGTTCAGACTGTTCTTATTTGCTCATATATACAACGGTTCGGCTGTCAATCTTTCTGAAATATTTTGCTTCCTTCAAAATTGATAATGTGTCCTGTTTTCAATGCATGTAACGCTGTCACTGACCTATTCTCAAGTTTATTTAGATCAACCGAGGATTTAGGGACATTTTCCAAACATTGTTTGTGTTCCTTCAACCTCACATTCAATTGTCTGAATGTTTCTTCAACATAAGCTGTATTACAATCATGATAATTGATCTCATAGACAGTATTCTGTTGTTCTTCCTTTGAGAACTTATCCTTAAATTTCATTAATGCTGATCTTATGGTGTCACAAGCCCGAAAATACACTCTTATATCATGTTTGTTTAGAATTCTATTGATTTCATCGGATTTTTCACGACGATATAGGTTGACGACATTGATCTTCCAATCTTTCGGTATACAATTCAGTGTTTAATAATGGTCAATCTTCCTTTGGCAATCGATTTAAGTTCATTAACTTCAAATCAAACAATTAAGGAATAAGCCCTGGTATTTTATTCGTGTACATAACTCATCAAGGCATAGGAACTAAATGAATTCCTTGAACTTTATTCAATGAAAAACCGGTAAAATGACTTATGAAACTGTTATAACTTATTCCAGTGCCCTATTAATTGTATAACGCGATGATACTGCCAATTCGAGAACAGTGAACTATCGACAGAGCCAACGACGCATAAATCCAGTACGAGCATTCTAGAGTCCTTAGCGAACCTGCTTCCCCACCTATTGGTCGATAAATGGGTCCCAAAAGTTACCATTCATTCTCATCAGGGTTATAACAGGAACTCAAACGTGTCTAAACTAAAATTACATAAAACCAATGAATGACATTAAATAATAATAGTGTAACATCACATATTAACTAAACCATGTAATGTGGAACATCAAATCCCAAATTCAATAATTTGTGAAGACACTTCACCCCTGATGGTGCACTGTTTAATCATGTGTATAGTTGTAGGTTCCGGTTACCGAAATTAAACAAGGTTTAAATTAAGTCTAAACCAAAGTTAAGGTAGAATAATATGAATTCATTTTACTTGGTGATTTCTTATCAGCTGCTTGCAACCTTATTCTTATTAAAATATAACATAGAGGTATGATATAATATGGGTTAGTGAATTTCGATGATGGAAAGATTTAAAATGAATAAACAAATCTGGAGTCATTTGAAGATGGAATTCAAAAAAACATAGGGACTCAGGCATTAATTATGTGGAGTTCGGATACCGATAAAATAAGTTTTATGATAATTACAGAGGATCTAAAAAGTTTCAATAAACTTCAAACCACTCGAAAATAACCATAGAAGACATATCACGATGGAATGGTAATTGTATAGGACCGGAAATAATGGTTATCTTAAAAGATTTGAAGAATTTACACAGGTTCAGGGCGAGACTCTAATTTGTGGACAAGCCAATCAGAAGCGTTCTAGGGATTTCAAGTTTATGGAGCCAACTTCACTGCTTAATGCTAACGTACGGTGGGTTCGTAGGGAATTTTGTACAAAACGTGATAATTGAGCGGCTATAAAACATAAAACGGCGAGACTATAATTTGTGAACAAATCAATCAGGTATAAGATAACAGATCTCGGATTTTAACGCAAAAACCTTTCATCCATTTGGCTAAATAAATTTCTGACATTAAAGCTGATGTCAGTTCGTGATGGAAAACCCATATATAATTCTTAACTAAAGCAAATTGTGACAATTATCGCGAACTGGATAACGAAAGCACCAGTAACACGTGCTGCAGCCATGTGCTACAATATATACGGATGTTTGGGGAGCGTACAAGCTACTATACAGGCTAGTTTATGTGCATCGTGTCGTTACCCACAAGTGGCATTTTGTGTACTCAACACCGGAGTGCACATAAACAATATTGAAGCTATGTGGTCGAAGCTGAAAGAGTTTTAGAGACTTTATCATGGCTCCAGAGGCCGACTATTCTGTAGCCGTATGGATGATTTCCGCTACTGCACGCATCATGATTTTAGAACCTCTGAACCTATTTCTAACCTTGACAAGTCTTTGAACCACGCATAAAAAGTGTATCCAGTTTATTTCCTTGGTTTTGTATAATGTATTTTTACTCTATACTGTTTGCTGATTGGCTAATGTTTCTCAAGGTCACCTAAGATCCGTTCAAAGGTCGTCCATAAACTAGAGTCTCGCCCAAATATGTTGAATTCAACCTGTTGGACGATCTATACACGTAATATACATATCATTATCCAAGGAGACTGTCATCAGTGGACAGATCGTTCATTACAAGCTAATAAAAAATTGTCTTTCATTTACAAGATAGGTGAAGTTTACAGGCTGGCAATATGTGTATTAGCATACCAGTCGAAGACCGAGGTTAATTTACTGTCAACTTTTTATCAGTTTCAAATCAACATGTATGACATCTTCAATGTTTCATGTTAGCTTTTACAGGTAAAAAAAAAACCCTAATGGAATAGCCCCTAAACCTCAAGAACTGCTGAAATTCATAAGCCAACTGCTAAAATGGATCATTTGTGATTCATTAAACCAATCATATATGCTAAATATGCATAAAGTCATGGGAAAATGTACTGAGGAACTACTATTGTTTTTTTAACATTAGACCTTTTATACAAATAATGGTTGTTAGAATTAATCAATGCTTCTTATTACCGGTTTTATTGTTGTACGGTCTTAGAATCAAAATGAATACCGAAATTATTAAAGCTACCTATTATGTAACTTCCAACTTTACATATATTCTACATTAATGCTGATGATGTACTTTTTCACTACTGTAAAGCATTTTATCTAATGATATTTCTATCCTTTAAATATCATCCTTCTCGAACAAAAACAAAACAAAACAAACCAAACAATCCTATCATTAAGTTATAATTCATTATAGTATTATGTAGAGGAAATCGAATAAAACGAAGCTTTTCAAAAATTGACCTAATCAATGAACCAGAAGCACCAGTTTGTCTATCTATCTATATGCATCAACTATTTCAATATAAGCTCAATTACTTCATGTGTATTGATCAATTTATCTACTTTAGTATGCTGTGTGTATTTATGCTCATATATATATATATATATGGAAAGAGGGAGAATTATATAACAGTCTGTTATACGCTCACTTTTCCAGTTAGTCTCTCATTCAATTGATTTATAATGGGTCGATTAATTTAGGCAAATTACGGAATGATTCTCTGTTTTGACACCTACGCTTTTTCTATCATACTCAGTGGACTCAAAGACAACTGGTATGGGTGTGTGTGTGTGTGTGTGAATATTCTCTGTATATGAGGATGTCAAGGTTAAATAAGATTTAGCTTAATGCAGATGTCAAAAGTTGACACAGTTTGAAGGACATATAGCTCTCTGCCAAAATGCAATCGATATTAGATACATCAAGCTATCATTTTAATGTATATCTCTATACCTATATTAAAATAACCGTCAGGGTCTACCTTAGAATCTATTCTCTGGATATTTGTAGACGTCATCTTAAACATTTTGTAGAGTCTCAAATTTTGTTACTTTTTATCAAATGAAATAATAAATCGATGTATCAGGGAAAGTAAAACAGTAAATCAAAACTGATCGAGTAAACATACCATTTCCTTTGATATAGTACTTCTACTGCCATAGTATTGTTTTAGCTTCATAATATATAATCAAATCTTAAAGTTATTTATTGTAAGGTTGTTTTCTGATCGTTGAAAGGTCCGTAAAAAAATCATCACCGCCCATTCGATTTTGTCAAAATGAGAGAATGACTAATGTAGATGAACTGATCTCTAACACTAGCTAGTAACTGATATTAATTCCATGGAATTATATTATAAGTTCGTATTTCTAATATTTTAATATTATAGATTGTAATTAGCTGAGACTTAGAAGGAATTGATGCTAACACGGTCAAATGATTGCTATCATTTTACTTAAAAATTTTGTTGTGAAATTGTATACTGGTTGATGACTTTCGATTCTCGGTTGGCAATAGTTGTCTAAGATGAATAGGCGATATAAACCTACAAAATTCAACTGTCTTTACAGCCCTCTATATTAAATATAATTCATCATGTGACAATTAGTGACTAATTTCAAAATCCAATTCTCAGAGTTCTAGTGAGATACCATGTCCCAGTGGAGTTTATCTATGTCGGTTGTGATATAAATGCCGCTCGTATCAATGAATAACAATTAAAAAGTATCGTGAATTAATTGAAAGCAGTAACGTGTACTATTAGCTACTAACTCTGTAGTCTAAAGGTTAAGTGACCATTGTGAAACCTCAAGGTTGTCGGTATGAATTCTGGTATTTATTTACGATTGAGGAGTCCCATACTAAAACTAAATAGAGCTATTTATTGCTTCTTGATTTCTAGTACTTGTTTAAGTTGAAGCCATGATGTTAAACTGAAAATTTGTAAAAATTCCAAGAACCTTTCATATTAAATAATGAGATTGCTAATAATTTGAAGTAATTTAGTGATTTTGGACGAAAGTTTCATAACGTTAGGTCCTGATAAACATAATTAATGGTCACATTGGGTTCCATTTGTGGATCAATACTATACGTATATTTTTATCTCATCATTGTTAAATAAGTAAACTATACATATTCATGTCTCTCTTATGATAAGCTTCATTTTAACCTATGAACTGTTATTATACGATTTTTCATTCTTGAATTATTCCCTGTGTATTAATCAATACCTCCCACATTCACAACCTCATTTCGCCAAAACTTATACAAATGTTGTTTTCATATTTATGGTACAATGTGGTCTGTTTGATTGGTACATAAACGTCGTATGTTTGAGATATATGATTGATGTCACAGAAGCTGAGATTGGTGTTCTGGACTCAACTGGCTTGACTAGGCACGAAGCAGGGCCAATAAGGACTCTAGACTGCTCGCACGTGTTTTACGCGTCATTGATCCTATCGATAAATTACCGCTTCCTAATTGGTGGTATCGTTACGTTATACATTAACAGGGCGCACAGGCCACAAGTTATAACACATGAATACAACTGTGATTGAGCGTTTCCTAGTTGTTATAAACTGAGATCAAATATTTAAGTCGTTTCTATCTTCAGAGTTTACTAAGTGTTGATTTCAAATTGACGCAGCCTCCATAACTTATTTAACTATAAAATGATTACAAACTTTGCTTCAATTCTGTGAACTGATTTAAATTAAATAAAATTTGCTCACCACTAAAAGCTTTAGAAAAATCTAGAAAATTAGTTAGAAAATGGTTTGACTGATTAATCAGTTAGAGATATAAGTTTTGCACAAGTATGAAACAAAATCTTCATTTGTTCAAAAAAAACCTGACCTGTTGTTTAGTTCGAAGCAATCCATTGTGACTTTAAGTCCGGCTAGTTATCACGTAATTTATTCGCCAATCGAAATAGGACTTATTCAGTTGTATTGTACTTACCCAATAACGTCCGACTGGTGTGACAAGCCTAGCATCCTTATTGGTTTTTCGCTCGCCTAGCCCGTCCAGTTGAGTCCAGAACACTAATAACAGCTTCCGCTATGCGAATCATGTATTTCAGACATACTTGGTTTATATACCAGCCAAACAGACCACATCACACCATAACATAGGAAATAACATTTATACACAATAAAGCCAAAAAGTGGCTGTGAAAGTGGGAGACCGTAATCAATGAACTGATCATAACTTAAAAGCAGTAAATCGTATAATAATAATCTATATGTCAGAATGAAGCTTATAATAAGATGAATATAAATATACACAATCTAATTACTGAATAGTTGTACAATAAGAATATATTAGATAATATTAGTCCACTAATAGGTCTCAGAAGCTACCTGTAATTTAATCTTCACTAGGATATAACACAATCAACACCATATCTTTTTTTGGCAAAATGTTTTATGCACTTAGTAACAATCATTAAAAGTGTTTTTTCTTGACTAAGCGATAAAATAACTCATAATTAAGATAGTGGGTAGTGAAATGATAATGCCAATTTTCATTATTAGTTTACTAGAGCTTACTGTTAGTTGTTTTCTGTAATTTAGTACAAAACTAGAGTTATTATGTTATACCATTTGAGACTGAATTCCTAATTCATAGATTGGATTCATCACAGATCAATCTTAATTAGCCCCCAAATGCCCTGGTACGGCTGAGAGTGGGGAGAGTCCGCTCTCCCTCTCGAAATGCTCTCACATGGCCACGCGTATATAGCCTCTGCCAGGGAAGTCCTACTCACTGCCTTCTCGTGGCGGGGGTGTTGTTCAAGAAAATGAGAGGACGAAAAGCGAATGTCCGGTGCTTTAACCGGATCCCAAATCAATGGTGCACATGGGCCGGCTCCAGTATCCTGAAGGAACAAATGGCGTATGGACCAATTGTTGGGCACCGGCTACCATGGAACTGCATCTCCTTACGATGCTCCACTGCCTTGTGGGTCAGACGTTCAGGTCGAAGGCTCGGTGTGTGGCCTCCTAAGGAAACCACCTGCTTCGGTTTGGGCACTCGGGCAGTATCACAGCCTCCACACAAATCAATTGAGATTTGTGTGGCGCATATGTATTTGGTACCTCCTTGTACCAATACCTATGTGTTAAAATAAATAATAATAAAGGTATTATTGAAAACTAAGGACTACTGGAACTCCTTTCGTTCTAGTATACTATCATGTTATCAAATCTTGGAGGATTAAAAATAAACTAATTTTTTAATATATTCATATGATTAAGCATCAGGGATATCCATTATGTTCATCATAAAGAAAATTGGTCATATAATTTCTGACAATATCTTATTACTATGAGATGAATTATATGAGTAGTATAATCTCATTAATGTTATATTAAACAAAAACAATAATAACAACATTTTATCAGTTATTTATGTCCAAAAACATAGTTTCAACATGCTCACCTATTTAAATATTTAAGTCATTTCTTTCTAAACTATGCAACTATTGCAATAAGTTTCCTGTTGTCAATTTTTTTTCAACTGATTAATTGGTGTATGTTAACTGCATAGTGTACTCAAGGCGCCCTTGCCAAAAAGATTGTAGTATATCGTTGTTATAACTTGAGGCCTGTGCGCCCTGTTAATGTATAACGTAACGATACCGCCAATTAGGAAGCGGTAATTTATCGATAGGATCAATGACGCGTAAAACACGTGCGAGCAGTCTAGAGTCCTTATTGGCCCTGCTTCGTGCCTAGTCAAGCCAGTTGAGTCCAGAACACCAATCTCAGCTTCTGTGATATCAATCATATTTCTCAAACATACGACGTTTATATACCAATCAAACAGACCACATTTTACCATAAATATGAAAACATTTGTATAAGTTTTGGCGAAATGTGGTTGTGAATGTGGGAGTTATTGATTAATACACAGGGAATAATTCAAGAATGAAAAATCGTATAATAACAGTTCATAAGTTAAAATGAAGCTTATCATAAGAGAGACATGAATATGAATAGTTTACTTATTTAACAATGATGAGATAAAAATATACGTATAGTATTGGTCGATAAATGGATCATAAAAATTACCACTCACTATTCTTATCGGAATATAACAATCTTGAAGCTTATTGCTTCAAAACTCATTTAGATTCATCACAGTGATTAGTATCTTTCTCTTTACAGATGCTTTTTAAAGAATTGAGTGACAGTTATATTAGAATCCGTGACAGTAAAGGATATCATAGAAGAAAAAAGTTGTCCAGAAAGCGTTTGTAGGTAAAGAAAATTGATAGAGAATTGTTTAGGTTTTTTTAAAAGCATTCACATGTAAAGTAGATATAAGATGGGAAACTGTTTTCATATTGCATATTTAATGCTAAGAAGTATTTTAGCAGTATTCAAATATTAAAACTGTGTAAATATTCTTCGAAAGTGAAGTGTTGTATACTATGTTCCTATTTAATCATTAATGTAAACTTCCTGACTCTTGAAGACTTCTATATAAGGAGAGAGAAAATGAAAACTTTTTAGGAATCTTTACCGAAGCCGGTATAATAAGACGCAATACTCATACTTAAACATAAGTTGTCAGTATGCATGTGGTGACATTGGACTGTTAAATTATTCGCTTACTTATGATATACCACTCATCTACTGTATGATTTTTAACATTGTGATTTCCAACGGAGCTTCTTTCTTATACACCTCTCTTTCATGAATAATATTCCGTTTGTTCGATTCATTATATGAATTGTCAAGAGAGATAGAGTATATCATAAATCAAGCAGTCATCTTATATGAAAGTTTAAAATATTTTAAGAAAACTGAAAAATAAATTGTTAAATCTTTTTCCTCAGGCAATTACCCCAATTAAATGTAAAAAATCAAAATGTACCATATATTTCCGATGGATCCAGAGGACAAACAATACAACATAAAAATTCACGTCGTACTCTACCAATGAATCGATCAAATAGTTTAGATGCAGATAAAACAGCCTATATTAGCCCAGATCATTCTGTATACCATGGTGATCAACAGAGACCGTAAGTTTGAATCAATATTCATGCATATTTAAGTACATCTTTTCTTGAACAGTACTGAAAATAATAAATTGTAACTTATTGACCCGAATGTAAGTTGATACACCTTGCCCTAAGTCACACTTTCAATGTCTCTATGTTTTGTGTGCTTTAATTACTTGTCTATTTGACCTGAAGTTAATTGTATAATTCATTTTTGTTGGTTGTTTGAATTTGCCCATTGATGTTTAAGGCTGCAATTAATCAGTCTCTTTTGGTTTATGTGGATTATGTACAAATAACCTCAATATTGGCATTCAGTTACAAACGTTATAACCAGAGTTGGATGATGGGTTATCATGCTTATAATGCTTGTGATTTAATGGCAATATAGAGAAAATTCGCACATAATAATAATAAAAGAGTATTAAACCAAAATTCTAGAATTTCTATATTGTTTAACAAGAAAAGAGTCAACGGCGAGATTATAGTTTATGGACGAACCAATCAGGTATAAGATAACAAGTCTTTCATTTCGGCGCGAAATTCATTCACCCATTTGGCTAAATAGAGACGTGGCATTACAGTTTATATCAGTTCGTGTTGTAAACTTTAAATCTAATCCCTAACCCTAACCATTAACTGTATATCATAATCCTTATTCTTCAAATTGCTTTATAACTCTCGTTTATCCCTAGTAAGTAGGTAGACACTTCCAAGGTCAGTTTAGCGTCGCTCAAAGATCGTCCATAAATTATAGTCTCACCATACAAAGTTGTTGCTTTACAATTTGGTATTCAAATCTGTATCTGAATGCTTATTATTTATTCTCAATTTACTCGAGATACTAGTTAACGCTGTTAATTGCTAATATAAATATAAGGTTACGTCACGTTACGTTACATAAATAACAGAATGATAGATTCATTCTCAAATCGTAAACTAATCAACCAAATACAACGCTCACGTTTCGTCTTTAAGCAATTCGTATAAAAACGATGGAGAATTAGGATATTTGTCCATTACTCATCTACATTTAATCAACCGAGAACTCTAATTACTTACTAATCTTAACATTTCATATAACAATAGACATTACAGAAGTGTATTGAAATAATTTTATTAGATTGAGATCATGAACCGATTGATGTTAGACCACCATTGAAAACCTAGAAGTACTGGATGGCTGTTTCGGTCTATTGCGGGGCTCCTTAACAGTGCGCATCCACGATCCAGCCTCTCGGGATTCGAACCCAGGACCTATCAGTCTAGCGCTCGAGCGCTTAACATCGAGACCACTGAGCCGGCATCAAATGGTGTTAATGTCTAATCTCAACCAATCCACGAAATTGCGCGACCATCTTCCATTGTTAAATATTTCTACTGAATTATAACGATTGTTGGATAAAATATATTTACTTATCCATTAGAATGACTACTGATATTTAACTGAAATGATTGAATGAGATACATATTAGAAATCAAGTTTATCATCATGTCAATATGGTTTACAAAAAGAAGGAAAAAATGAATGAATAAATGGGGAGAAAAAAGTCAACTCTTTAAAATAACTTAATTCTAAAATCAATTTACAGTAATAAAAGTACAAATGAAGGTCATAGGCAAATTTAGTTTATTGTATTACTGATAGGTTTTAATAATTTATAAAAGAAATAAAGAATTTAAGGGTAGGAGAAGTGATAAATAATTTCTCTATATGGAAATGTGGATAATGGCTAGCGTTGGAATCCAGGATGTGCGTTTCGTCCTATTTGGTACAAGTTATCCGGATGTGCCTGCATCCCTGAGTTGATGTTCACTCTGGGAATCGAACCCAGTACCGTTCGCTTCAAACTCCATCGCGTTATCCACTTACCTACTGAATCCTGATAGCCACTTGCTCGTGAAATGGTGTGACGTTTAAATTCACTTGGTATTGTTTACTTGAATCTTCTAGCCACTGCTTATAATACTTGTGAATTAGGGCAATATCGAGGTAATCTGCACAGTATGTACATATGCTAATAAGAAACTGATCAATTGACGTCTTAAACATCAATAGGAATATTCAAGTAAACAATGCCAAGTGAATTTAAATACTTTCTTTGTTAACAAATGTGATTTGTTTTTCAAGGTAAAGATAATTTTAACCATATAGAATCATTGTAAACCCGATAAGTGTTGAATTTTTCTATTGTCCAAGTTTTAAACCGTTTGATAGAGCGTAACTATGACTTCACACTAGAATGATAAGAAGTTTCATTTTGAGCATAGTAGTATTCAATCATTAAACTCATATCTTATATTTAATGTTAAGAAATTTTTAATAGATATCACTTTTAAGTTTCTGTATTACTCATTATCTCATTCAAAGTTATAGTTATACACTAATTTGGAGGATTTACATGTTAGAATGTAACAATTGTCTGTTTGTGGCTCTCATTTTTCAATACCTCTTCAGTTAATATCATTTTGTAATGAAAATCGATTTCAAGAACGATAAATCCTTAAAATCATACTATACTGATGACCCAAACAGATTATAAGATAGGAGCTCTTGTACCTCTGCTCAAAATCCGAAATTCATTGGAGGATAGTTGATATCTTATTAGAAGCTAAGTAAATACTATTGACAGTCATTTTCTTAAATGCTTAGAAATGATAAACATGGGGAAATTAAAGAAACGGTATCATGGTTCATACATGTTAATGATTACTTAGAGGTTCTTAAAATTGTAAATCAAGGAACTACAGAGAATTCTCCCACTCAGTTGTTAATCGTTACTTCCGACTCTTAAAGCTATATTCCAACCGTAACTCTAATTTCTAAATTAAACCCAAACATCCAACTACAAAGTCTTAACACTTAAACATAGCCACCGACTCAGGCCCGACTCCTAACCCCTAAACATAAACCCGAATTCTCGAACAAACGCTTAACATCTTTGAGTTTAATGTAATAAATTATTCATTTATATGATCGGAATTCTTACTCGCTAAAAATCCGCTTTACTTCTTCAATGTCACTCAAGGATTCATTATACAAACTCCCTTTAGTTTAGACTAACTCCCTCTCTTTTATTTTACATATTTTAGATTTGGTGATAAATTTGTAAAATATGATCAAATTCCTGGTGAGTATGGTCATAGTGCAAGATCTAGGCATACATCCGGTGCATATTATCCATCAGATGAAATCACTTCATACAGAGAAGTGAATAATCGTTATCCCCCTAATGATCCCCGATTACATGGTAATACCTATTTGGATTCTACATATCCAGGTGATTCCTTCCCTTCTGATCCATCGGATTCACCATGTCAAAGCGGTGGTGGTGATAGTGGTACAAAATATGGTTTTTCTTATGGAAAAGGTTCAGCACATGAATTTGGCAGACATCAAGAAATCAGATATAGAAGTGATCAAAATTTTCCTTCTCAATCACCATATTACAAACAAAACTATTCATCTAGTCCTTTTAGTGGTAAGTTAATTGATTTACATAGTTTTAATGCATAATAACAATTGTGTTCATTTTGTAGTTTACATTATGGGTTGAGTTAAAATAGTAAACTATTAAAAATCAGGAAGCCTTTACAATTGTTTTATACTTCTATAAAACTACTGGGCAACACGGATCCATTAACATCTAAAAGATTGAACTCAGAGACTTTAGGCCTCTCAGAGAGTGCTTAATCTTAAGACCACTGAGTTGGCATCCAACCGACGGAAGTTATAAGATGTGGACTAGTGGATGACAAACCAGTGGTCTGAGGATTAAAGACAATCGGAGAAGCTAGAAAATTCTCGGTTCGGATCGTGGGGTAGTCTTGGAGTGCACATAAATCCAATACTAAAACATAACAGCCTTTTATTGCTTTCTGGTCTTCAACGGTTATCTAGCTGAATTCAGTCTGTGATTTAAACTACGATTTGTACAATTTTCCTAAATTAATTCTAAATTACGATTAATTGTTCGGCATAATCGACTACAGTTTATTCTTTAAACAGCCAACGATAAGGTGGGAAGAATCAAAGAATTGTTAGTTATTTCGCCACTTCCATTTTAGCCAATCGTTGCACAATAAGTCTAACTATTTTGTTCTAATATTTTTTTGGATCTATATTATACAGGTAATTACTAAATAATAGTCATCCATTTGGACAATGATTTTATCATCCGATATCTGATCATTTGACATTTCAAGATCAATACCACGAGCCCATTCTCTTATCAGTCTGTTGTATTGTTACATCTTAGTTATAGTGAATTCAAAAATAAAGGTTTCCCAATTAGTATATTTTTGTACTGTATAACATCTCAATCAATTTGTTAAACTTACTGAAATGTGTCGATAATTGGTTACTGTAATTCTTGATGGAGTTTTATTCTCTGAGCTGGATGCTTTGACCGTGCAACTTTCATCGTTCTTCTGGAGGACATCATCAGCAAAAACTTCAGATAGAAGTGAAGTGTCCGAATTTCTCCACATGTGGCTCACAGCTTGATTACAGTAAATAATTCTTGGCACAAAATATTCAATAAGTTCCTCATTTTGTTGTATACATTTGTATTGAACAAGTATCAAATTTAATGTTCTCCGGTTTAGTTAAAGAACAAACAATAGGGAAGATATATGAACTGCTATGGTAATTCCATTTGAGTTTTGAGATAAATAATAACCTGCTTCGTAAACATTTATGAGTGCATTATGCTAAGTATTATGTTTTGAACTCTTGGAAATGACTTTTGAATTGATTCCTAATGTCTCAAAAGTCTCTCTCATTTGAACCTCAAACAGAAGAATATTTGATTTTTAGGGTTACTTTGTTACGGGAAATAAGGATATTTATGAGTTTGTGTATGATCTTGATTCTGTAGAAGCTTCCTGAAACATTAGTAAAAATTAGTAAAAACGCCGGTCAATCGTCTCTCTTCTTTAACTCTTTGAGATGTTTCTATTAAACGCTGATTGGATGAAATATTTTCTAGCATTTCATTAACTTTTGAAGACTTGTTCAAGAGATTCTTGAGGGCTTCCAACAGCCTATATGGTTATATTACATAACTAATTGACTAAACAAAATTCAGAAATGGAGAATTTATTGAATAGTCGGAAAATAAGTGGTTCAGAGAATTGAGGAAGCCTCTATCAAATTCCTAATACATATTTAGCTTTACACCTGATTTAGTACTTAAAAGTATTGACAGGGATAGTTTTCATTTCTTTTAATAATTAGCACAACGACGAAATAAACCAAATTGGGAAACTTATCGTTATGGTGCTGTACCACCAAGATATCGTGATCAATTACGCCATCATCAGTTACATCATCTTTCATTTAGTAGTTCAGATGGAGAAGATTTCAGTGTTGTTGACGATGGCTCAGTACTATATCAAGAACCAAGACGTCGATTATTACCGACAAATTTTGAAAGAAAAAATTCACCATATTCTCAAGGAACTGTAACAGATGATGATGATCCAGCTAGTCAATTTTATATTAGTAAACGTTCAACAACACCATATTATGATAGACAGTTAAAACCAACTGTATGGGATCAAGATAAAGCATTATCTTTATGTGATGAACCACCGGTAAGATATGCGTACAATGATGAAGCTCAACCTGTATATCATAGACAACTACCTGAGAATAGATCTATGGGATATCAAAAAGGTCAGTTTTATTTAGTAATATTTAAAATAAAATGAAAAATAAATGGAATTTTTATTCATTATGCGTGTAAAGAAGTATGTATAGGCATTAGACTGTACAACAAATACACGAAATGAGATCATGAAAAACTTTATTTCATAACTTTTGATATTCAAAATCAGTATTACCCTCTTCAAACTAGCTCTCGTGACAATAAATCTGTCCAGTCTTCATTTTCATTATTCAGAGTAAGGTTAAAAGTTCTCAGTAGTCCAACTATTTAGTTACCTCATAGTTTCATGTTTTCATGGCGCTAAATGTTTTGCTAAAATCATATACTTAAACCAGGTTTGCCCAACTTCAGTTCATCAATAATCATCGAAATAGTAAATTAGCGATAAAAAAAAGCACAGGTGACTTCATATATTCGATGTATTCATCAACACAAAAGAGATTGACGTTTATGTTGGGATTTTATCGTCTTTATATTCTTTATGATCTCCTATTAAACATCTAATCTATTTGAAAAAAGGGATTCATTCTCTGCATTAGCTTCAACATTTTGTTACTTTTAAGATTTTTGTTACGTTACTCTAAAACATTAAATAGCTCATCTTGTAACTTAATTGAACAAGTCAAGTATAATTATGGGTACAAATATTAAAGTGTACTGAAAATGTTACGTGAACATAAATCTTTGGTTACATATACAGAAATACATTGACTAGTAGTCATTGAAAAAATAAATGTTGTTGAATGTGCAATATAACACTAAACATGAAATTATGCTGTTCAACACTATAGCTATCACTTAAAGATTCTAAGCACTGAAAGAAAAACACAACCTAACTTCTTTTCATGAGGTATGAGATTTACAAAACAATCTTACTCAATATTTGCTAGATATTGATTATTCATTAGTTAAAACTGTAGTAAACGTAACCGAGAGAATCCTCACATAGTTTTGACGACATTGACTTTACACTGGGACAGTATAGCTATAAACAATTTCAATTGGAATGATACAACCTATAATATATTACATCAAGTCGAGGTTCTGGAATGTTCATCCAGAAGATGATGGACAAAATGTCTTTGATTCTTTGTGAGCTTTTAAGAGCTCCCTTGAGTTCACCGGCGGCCGTCTCCAGATCCTACGACAGAATCGATTAACAAATGACGGTTTTTTGAGTTGACGTTGTTTGTTGTCTAAGTTAGACGACTAATTATCAAGAGAAAAGTAATTGATGTTCATGTAGGAATGTTTTCAATTTGAACGGATTTTCACTACATTTAAATAAAAAAGATTTTTACCTTATGGAGCTACGTTATCAAGCTGCATTTTTTTTTCAAAATTTGTTATACTCTCATTTTTCTGTTGGTTGTTTGAATATTCCCATTGAGTTTTAAGTCTGTGATTGATCAGTCTCATATTGGCATATGTGCATCCTGTGCGGATTGCCTCGATATTGCCTTAATTCACAAGCATTATAATCGGAGATGGATGTTGGCTAGCAGTCCTTAATGCGATGGCATTTGAAGAAAACGGTACTAGGTTCGAGTCCCAGAGTGAACATCAACTCTGAGATACAGCTACATCCGGCTGACTTGTCCCATGTAGGACGGAACGCGAATCCTAGATTCCACTGATGGCCACCATCCATCTCCGTTCATTATATTATGTTTTTATTGCATTTGTTTATTTATTTTCTTACATTATTGCTAGATGTTCAATACAACCATAAAGATGGGACAGTTGTTACAAAAAGGTTACCACCGAATATTTCATCAGTAGGTTGATTATATTAATAATATCTATAAATGTATTTATGGTAAATATTTGTATTAGTCACATTTTCAAACAGTTTTCTTAATGAGTTACAGTCTAAATAATGACTTTCTTGACTCGATCAGCCACGTTTCCAATCCTTTCCCTATATAATTAGAACATTAAAAAAACACTTTCAAAGTCAAGATCAGTGGGTATATGGCTATCGTGTACTGAGCCCATTTATGGAAAGTTGTGTAAAGTTAAGGGATATTTTTCATTGAAGCGATACCCACTACTGAAGAGTCCTAATCCAAAGTGAAAAATGAATTCTACTTTTCGTTAGATCTCCAGTTGTGACGAAATTCACCATAAAATTATCTAAATCTTCATGAGTTACTTACTTAAGCCTGTTACCCTTCATGGAGAAGCATAGGCCCAACACCAGCATTCTTCATTCAACTTTGTCCTGGACAATCCTTTCAAATTGTTTATAATTGCTATTCATCCTTTTCATGTCTGCTTCCAATTCCCGACATAGTGTGCTCTTTGGTCTTCCTCTTTCCCTTTTTACTTCAGGATTCCAAGTTAGCACTTGTCTCATGATACAGTTTGATGATTTCCTCAATATCTGCCCTATCCATTTCCAACGTCTTTTCATAATCTCCTCCTCGTCTGGAAGTTGGTTAGTTCTCCCTCACAGTAGGCTTTATGATCTTTATGATCTCAACTATTAAAATTACTATAGCATCCAAGAAAACCCCTTCTGATACTAAAATGAATTTATTTAATTTATTTTCTAAGACTTTTTTTGACAAAATCATAATCATACTTTTTATTTAAATTTAAGTCTCAACCAGTAACTTGGAGTGTTTCAGAGAATGGTAAACGTTTAATTGGTCATATGATTTTACAAAAGAAAACTGATCCACATTTCGGTGAACCTGGATTAGGTAAGTTAAATAAATTTTTATGTTGATTTCTCAACTTGTAAATAAATCATAATTAATATCAGAAAGGTTTTGTGGATATTACAGTAACTTCAATGGTTAAGACCATGAGTCAGTTGAAGTTAGACCATCATGGAACGGCCGTTTCGTCCCATTGTAATACTCCTCAACAGTGCACATCTACAACCTCGCCTCGCGGGATTCGATCCCAGGACCTATCATTCTAGCGGGCGAACGCTTAACCACTAGACTACTGAGCTGGCATTTAACGGTGTTAATGTCTAACTTCAACCAATAGAACGAGACGGCCGTCCAGTGCTTCCAGGTTTTCCATGGTGGTCTAGCTTCAACTGACCCATGATCTTAACCATTGAAATTATAATCAACCATTAAAATCTTTTTCCTGAAAAAACCGTTTTCTTTTCCTTCAGTTTTTATCTTTAATTACTTTCCTAAAACTCATATTTGTGGTGATTGATTCCTAATGAATAATCAATTTATTTTAATCAGTAGATTTATTACCTTGATTATACAATATACAGATGTGGTTTTCATTTAATGGTTCATTAGCCATATTTGTTACCATAATAAGTTGACTTGAATGTTAGTCAGTCAGTCAGTCAGTCAGCTACAGCGTAAGACCAGGCACATTTATGCATCGGTCCAAGTTGCCATACCTCATCAGCACAACAAGATCAACATCAGATTCTTAGGAGTAGTTAAGTCAATGGTGATAACATATAAAAGAAAGATTGCATATCAGGAGATAGTATAGGAAGAAAGAATTCGTTCGTAGAAAGAAACATATGAAGCGATTTTAATCTCATAGTTTAAAGGAAGACAAAGAGTGGTTACACCGATACCATTGTGATGGTTTCTGAGCCATGTTACACAGAGTCTCCAATCATTGTTTACGATAGTCACGTGGACCCTAACTAAGTAGTCTGCATCTACCAACATGGCTCATACTAGGAGTTAATGACTTCAAGCACTGATGTGACGTTTTGGTTTGACCACCCCTGACTTTCTTCCAACCATCCTTAACACTAGTCATCATTGCGCGTCGTGGTAATCGGTGTTCAGGCATACGCAACACGTGGCCCAACCATCTCAGTCGATAAAGATTTATAACTCATTTTAATGAACCATTGTAATCACTATTTGATTTTCGATTGAATAAATAGTTAAGAGTACATTGAATGAATGACATAAAGTTTATCGAAATAATTATTAGACTGAGATAGATGTTTTCAAAGGTTATTACACTTTACTCGGCTGCTCACTGTAATCATATGTTCATTCAATAATCTGCTCTAGGCAATCATGATTACAGTTAGGTAATAGAATAAAGTATCACTCTTCTTAACCAATAAAAATAATCTCGGCGCAATCAAACAACAAATCATATTATACTATCAAATCAATCTGAATCCATGTAGCGAACTCCAGTTCTTTACAGTTCAAAAAGTAATTTTAGCTAGTATTCATTCACCCGTAAATGCATGGTACAGGGATGAGCCATTTAGAAACGTGAACGTGACTTTTAGTCTGCTAAGTCAAAAATCTTATGTCACGTAAAAGCATGCAATTGATATATCTTTGTACGCTGATCAAAACATTTAAAATGTAGCGAGAACTGAAAATGAATCAAAGGCTCAATCCTATGTTTATATATTTTATGTAGCAGCCATATCAATGCTCCCTAATTTGTAATACTTATTATTGAAACAAACCTTAACCCCGAACAAATCGGACAGTGCCTCTCAGATTGAAAGTTTATTAATCCATATGGCTACAGAGTATTGTTGCATTGTATCTGATGTCAGCTGGTGGTGAAGAAATTCTAACCATTAACCCACAATTCTTACCTTTAACGTCTAAACTAATTAAGAAAGATATCAGGACGCTTAAAAATCTTAGGTTTCTATAATAGTTTAAGAATGTGGATAATCTATGTTCACAAAGATGAATTTATCTGTGTTCGTTTTTCCAATTTACAAGCAGACTTACCTGCAGAAACTGATAATCGGTACTTAATGTAAGATCTGTCAAGATTTTGGAATATTTTCCATGAACGTCCCACTTACAATGACTTCTTTCTGATTGGCTAAAGAATGACTGGAAATTTGTCGTGGTGGTGTTTTCAGATCGTCCCTATGCTTACGACCTTGTTGGACTCCAATATCGTTACGCCGTTTGTAAAATATTTGTAGTTCGCTGCATGATCTATAGGCTACACTGTTCTTCTTTCAAATGATTAAATTTTGTAGCGGTGATTTCTTGAAAATTAACCTTCATAGTGTCATAAGCTACATAATATCATCGTGTACAACTACTTTTACATCCTGAATCCTGATTGGCTAATATGGTGCGTCGGAATTCTAAAGCGGTCTTCAACTTCGTGCGATGATACCAGTATACCATGGTCTCAACAACAATTTAACACCTTTTTATTACTATGATAGAAATCGTATCACATTATATTTCTCATACAATTTTTTTTCAAAATCAGGTCTTAAATTAGCTGGTGGTCGACTCGACAAATCTGGCCGTTTATCAGCATTTGTCACACAAATTAAACCAGGAAGTCCAGCTGATATTATTGGACATTTAAAATCTGGTGATGAAATTTTAGAATGGAATGGACAGCCATTACGCGGTCTTAGTGCTGATGATGTTTCACAAATCATATATCAGTCAAGAGATGAATTACAAGTGGAATTATTAGCTCAAAGAGAATTAAAGTAAGAGTTTTATTTAATAACAAAGTTCACTTATTTCGTTAATAAGTAGACTAATCGATGGTATTGTTTTACTAATAATGTGGTAAAGATGTTGTTTAATAACTAAGATGTGTACTTTATAATCATACAAACTTAAGAAAATCTTTAGTAGCAGCCAACTCAGTAACTAATTAACTTACTAACATATTACAGTTTCGAGATGGTGGAGGATATTTGTATCTTAGGTGGATGATTTTGATGGAGTTTCGTTCTCTGAGCTGGATGGTTTGGTCGTGGAGCTTTCATCGTTCTTCTGAATGACATCATCAGCACAAACTTCAGGTAGAAGTGAAGTGTTCGAATTTTTTCAAATGTGGTTCACAGCTTGTCCTGTACACCTCGATGTTGATGTCAACAAGAACCAATCAATATCGAGGTGTACAGGACAAGCTGTGAACCACATGTGAAAAAATTCGAACACTTCACTTCTACCTGAAGTTTGTGCTGATGATGTCATTCAGAAGAACGATGAAAGCTTCACGACCAAATCATCCAGCTCAATGAACAAAACACCACCAAAATAAAGAAATTTATCCTTCAAGAATTATAGGTTTACTTTAATTCAATAACTGTTTATCAGTCTATAATTTAATGAAATTTTGAAATCAAGATAACATTTGTTATAATACTTGAATAATATGTTCCTTTTTTCTCATTACTTTTTTGTTCATTCATTCAGTGAACCTGAAAACAGTAAGTTCTCAATCAGTTTTTGTTTTGTACTTTTGCGCATATTAAAACTTCTATATAAGATATTTAATATTTACCTGTAAGCTACTCATCTTATTTAAAATTGTTATAAGATAGTAAGATGATGTAAGTCTTAGTTATGGGTTCATAGCTAGTGATAAATAATATGATAGTTTAGATGTCCACTACTTCAAGTCAGTTTGGTATCGATGTTATATTACTTTTACTTAATTAGTAATCAATTAAAATTGTCCCTTTCTTATAAGTATTATTATTTCAATAGTTGAAACCATAAGTCATTTGAAGCTAGACAACCATGGAAAACCTGGACTCACCGGATAGCCACTTCTTCCTAGTATGGGACTCCCCAGCAGTGCTCACCCATGATCCATCCCCCCGCGAGATTCGAACCCAGGACCTGTCAGTCTCGCGCGCAGGCGCTAAACCAGGTCTGTTGTGAGATATCAGCTCACTGAAGACATTGGTGTACAGTGGCGCAATTTTGTGGGTTGGTTGAAGTTAGACATTGACACTGTTGGATCTAATGGTTAAGCACTTGCGCACGAGACTGATAGGTCTTGAGTTCGAATCTCGTGAGGGGCGGGATGGTGGATTCGCGCTGATGAGGAGTCCCGTACTGAGACGAAACGGCCGTCCAGTACTTCCAGGTTTTCCATGGTGATCTAGCTTCAATTGGCTCATGATTTCAACTATTGAAATTTCTACAATCTCCACAAAACCCCTTCTGACTATTATCATTATTATTTGTAATTATTCATTATAAGCACACTGATGGTATATGAACGAAGGATGTTCTTCTGTAGTGTTGGTTATTATGTTAAGCCCATATGCCTTATTTTAACTTCTGGATAAGCCAATTTATCCATTCTTTTTTAGTTACGTTTCGACCTTGTTAATTATTCACTTATCAACCTTGACTATTTTTATATGAGCGCATATGTGTGTGCCCTTCTTATCTCATTCATCACATGTCTGTAGATTAATTTTGTGTGACAATAAATATTGATTAACACTCGGTTAAATGAGAGTTGGCTCACATGCATTTTGCACTGCACGTCATTTCGCTTCACTCTCTTCTCTTCGCTTCATTCCCTGATTACCTGTTCAAATCAATGAGTGTATGAAATATACATATTCAAAATCCATTCTCGTATTTGACTTATTTAACTACATTATTCACTAACGCAAATGAAGTCGATGATAATATACGAGAATTGACGATATGTATATCTCAATAGCAATCAGAAACAATCTCAATGGAGTCAGATCCCGAGACCATTAAACTTTTCATGAACTTATAAAGTTATATACTTAACATGTCGATTCGACTTATGATTAAAAAGAACTTTTCTTCTTACTCATTAGAAAGAAGTATTTAAAAGTGAAGCTTTCAGTGATTCACTCTATTTATCTTTCATATGTATATACGATAGCATTTGAAGAGCTCAGTATATAAGCAAATCTATCATCTGAATATATTATGTCTTTGGAATCCATTACTAACGAGTTTAGAATTAAAATAAAACAACTAGCATACTGAATTTGATTTCCAATGGTTAACCAGCTGATATCAGTAGTACATAATGGAAATTATGTCCACATGGATTAGTTTATGTTGACTAACTCCCTATCATGAAAATGAAACTGAATTTGTAGTGCACATTATAGATTGAATTTAGCTTAGAAACAAACATTGAAAATCACACTTCAATATGCATTCGTGATGAAATTAAAATTTATATTGTTTCTTTTTTTTGGAAGAAATATGCAAATTATGCAAACAAACTTAACGGTACACTTAAATGCAAGTCACATGATTAGTTTGTTTTATTGTAATTGATACATTATATATTGCTTTTCATTTTCCCCCTCGTATTGCATTTATCTTAGCACCAACTGATGATTTTGTATTGATGGTTCCGAATCGTTCTGATGGTCTTAATCCGAATGAAATGGATTCTGTTGAGCATAATATTAAATCTAGTTTACATGTATGTTACTTTTTCAGGATTTCGTACATAAATATTATAAAGAATATCATTGTTTTGATGAAATATATGAATTTTCACACTTGCCGTAGTTTAAGCCTCTTCTTAAATGGTCTGATTACGATCGCATATTAATTGAAGTATGTCGTTGGCATGAAAACTAGACATGGAGATTTCAAGTTAAGTAGTAGTATGATTGAGTCGAAGTCGTTACAATAATCGGAATGAATCTAGACTGACACACTAGTCGACAACAAATACTACTATTACTGTCAGAACTTATCATCCCAGTGAGCTACGAAATTTCAGATGACAAAGATCTCATCTGTGACTGAAAAGTTCTTATTTACGAAGAGTGTCACCTTTTATATACAGTTAAAAGCAATGTAAAATACAATAAAGGAGCGGTTAAGTGGTTTGTACTGATTGATGTGATAGAAGATTAACCTGTCTTATCAAGTTGTTCTCAAAACGTAGCAACATGATACATTCCTACATCATTTAAAATTAATTAAAAATGCTTATTTCTACTTCGGCCTCTTTGTATCACTTAGGGTACTGGTTATTGCAAACCTCGGTTTCTTGGATTCGATCGATAGTAAAGATTAGACAGTATTACACAAGTCACTACTAATTGTTTAAATAATGTGTCGATTTTCCAGTAATACTGGAAGTTAGTCTCTTTTCCAATAACTCGATAATAATAAATCCGACCGCTGATATAGACATAGTCTTCTATCATCAGTTACCCGAAAATCCCAGTTAGGTTCTGTGGATAAGTATCAACTAACAAAAGATCTAGATCCAAGCATTTTTATTCGCTGATCAATCATACGCTAAGTACAGAACAACTGATGATTTCGGGCATCTTTGAAACATCTTTTTAGGGAGCACAAGATGCAAACACAGAGTACGAGCATCAAGATGAGTATGATGACTAAGAACCATTAAAAAGAAGTCCAGTTTCTTACATTTCTAACTGGCAATAGAGCGTGACTGCTATTCACTTAACTTTCAGAATAGTTAATTTCATAAGTCAGTGATCTATCCAATAACTTCGGAAACGCTTCTTGAAATAAGTCATTAATAACATTCACTTATTCCGTCAAGGTTCGTGTTATACTTGTAACCGGGGAGCAGTGACTTATCGACCGGATCAATGGGACGTAAACCCGTATGAGCAGTCTACAGTCCTGATTGGCCCTGCTTTCCGCCTAGCTCAGACAGTTGAGCCCATAACACCAATCTCAGCCTCTGCAATATGAATCATTTATTTCAAACATACGACGTTTACATACCAAACAAACAGACCAAATTGTACCATAAATATGAAAACAACGTTTGTACAAAGTTTGGCGAAATGTGACTGTGAACGCGGGAGGTAGTGATTAATAGACAAGGAATAATTCAAGAATGGAAAATCGTATAATAACAGTTCATAGGTTAAAATGAAGCTTATGATAAGAGAGACATGAATATTGTGGTGTGTGCTACTTATGTAAAAATAAGTTGTATATAATGTTAGTCGTGAACAGAATGTCTGGCAGCAGAGAGACAAGAAGATTGAACAGTAAAGAATGAAGACAGAATGCAATTTGTATGAAAATGTAAGAACAATGAATTCTGAGTCATTTTTAAAACACTTGATGGACATTTTGCAAATTGAGCATTTGACATATGGTTGTTAGATTTTATTAACATGTTCTGCAATTTGTTGTTAGGTACATTCGATTGTCTACATTCGTGTTCTGTTCACTATAATATGAATAGTTTAGTAATTCAACAACTAAGCAATCGTAAATGTACGCATAGTATTGATCCATAAATGAATCCCAAAAGTTATCATTCATTATGCTTATCGGGACATAACAGTTCTGCAATCGATATTTCCAATTTTAGTCATTTTATAATGAAAACTGGACATTGCTTCACTTTACTAATATAAATTATTGATAAGAAATTAGAAGAATAGTATCTTTTGTTATGAAACAATTCCTAAGGTATTTTCTATACCTATGTTACATTTAACATTGTCTTCATATTGAATTTTAAAATCACTTCTATCTCTTTTATATTTTTGTAGATGAAATTATTCTATGATGAAATTAAACATCAACTAATTGTCACTATTCTAGAGGCCCGAAATCTACCTAATATAAATAAGACTTCTAGAATGCCATGTAATTTTTACTGTCGTTTGTGCCTTCTTCCAGAACAAGTGTAAGTTCATGATGATTACAGAGTCTTCTTTCATCAAAAATTATTTTTGTATACATTAGATTTCATATCAACGGTACTTAATTTATTGAAGAAACTGATGAATGCTCCATTAAACTTTAACATCGTGTATTACATTTACAAAGTAGACATTTTCGTACTTGACTTTAAGCCTAATTCTTTTGTGTATGTGAAATTTAATAGAACTAGGCAAATCAAATTTAGTAGACTAGAATTCTAACTATATCGTAAACTGAAATACATCGTTATAAGTTAATTCTCTTGGTAAATATTTATAAATTCATGATTCTTAATACAACTCGACGCAAAACTAAGCCAACACGGATTAAGAAGTTGATCGGCATTCAAGACTAGAGAAACAAGACATTAGTTTCTACTCAGTGACTAGCTGATATAAATATCTCAGTCATAAATAGGATCAATCGGTATCTGAATAGTTCAATGGTCCCTGTGATTGCCTTACTAATCAGAGCCAGCTGGTACAAAATTATAGGTTCAAAGTTTTCTGGTGAATACTTCTAACCACTTAATATATTGCACGAGTTTCTGATTCACTTAGGTCAGTGTGCAAATAACAACTTGATCGATAGAATTCGATTAGCAGTAGGGACTAAACAAACATGATATTTCAGCAGTTTAAAAATCCCCATAGAATATTCAAAAATTAAGAATATTTGAGCGAACAATTGTTTTCAATAACTTCATCATCAGGCTCTACAGTTATAAGTCCATAATTATTGTGATATTTTACAAAGGCCAAAAATAAGGCATGTATTAATGAAATTTGACAATGTTATGTGTTAAAAAATTGGTGCACTTTTGCATCTGTTACGATATATATATATATATATACTTCAAAATGGTATTATTTGCAAATGAGAAAGGTCATTCAATAAAGGTCAAGCTGATTTGGAGTAAAGTGTTCAATCGAAATAAGTAGAATAGTATTATAGCAAAATCGAAAAACAAAATTGTGTGAATAGAATGCATAGTAAGAGAATTTCATCTTGTCAATTGGGATAATAATAATAATAAGATTGTGGTGTGAATATAATATGTAATAAGGGGGTAGGGGGTGTTATCAAGGTAACTACGATCAACGAATTGGGAATGATAGATGTGAAGATTAAGATAGGGATAATCAAAATTAATGATAATAAGGAAAATAAATAAAATTAGGGGAAGGGGGTAAGAGGTTTAAAATATTCAGACTAGGTATTCGGTGATCCAGTCCTAGGCCAAGGTAAACATAGAGGCTGGATATATTTTTTCTGGATACATAAATTAGGTCTTCTAGAGTTGATCCAGATGGCTTCGGCTATGTAAAGTAGACGTAATCTAGCTCCTTGAGGTAGATATTTTGGAACTTGATATAAAACAGAGAAAGCTTCCTCTATTTTGATATGATGTTCATTATCTACCAAGTGTGAAAGAATAGCACTGTTAATAGATTTAGTAACTCCTTTTCCCAACCATGCCGGCACATGTTCACGAACACGCAAGGATAAAGCCCTCTGAGTACGGCCTATGTAACTAGCTCCACAGGAGCAGTTGAATTGGTATACACACATGGAGGAGCCCATCTTCGGTAACCTATCCTTGATTAGTTGTGTGAGTAATGGTTTAGTCGAGAAGATTATGTGTAACTTGGCAGCATGAAACGTCCTTTCGACCGATCTTTTGAGTCGGCGTGTTAAAATCTCACCCGCTATATCCCCTTTAAAGTCAAGTCTCAGATACAAGGTCTTTTTTCTGACTGTTTCACAATGTCTTCTTTTCTTATTACTTTGTACGAGGTATTTTTTGACGAAATTATCAGGATATCCATTATCTCGTAATGTATTCTTTAATATATCTATTTCGTCATCTACACAGTCTTCAGAACATAATAAATTGATTCTGTGGCTGAGACACTTAACCAAATTTATTTTATATTGAAGGGGTGTGAAGCTTCACACGCCGACTCATGATAAATGTATAATCTTTTTTTCTAAATTTCGTTTAATTGCCAACTAAAATACAGTTTAGGCATCTGTCCAAGGAGTCAATCTCCCAATAGTGACTTCACTCAAGTTTAAAATATCCATAACTAGGAAATAAAACCAAGGAGTTTTAGGCTTCCTGAAGAATGATCAGCTTTTAGACCACTGAACTGGTATCTAATAATTTATAAGCATAAATTTAATCAATCTGTTATATTATCCAACCTTCTTCTAATACGAATAACTGCCTCACACCCTGCATGACTGAATTCCACTATCTATAACTTCTCATAAGAACACTGAGAATTGTCTGCCGAAATTAGTTTCTAGTGAGAATATGATTGTTATTATGATTAATATTATTATCACTAAGAGACTCAATTCTATGTGAAGTAGATCATGTTCAAACAACACAACAATATTGAAACGACTCCAAAATGGATATTGTTTCATTTAAAGAAAAATTGCAATATCATGAACTGACTATTTAACTAGAAGAAGTATTGAAAGTTATTGGTGTTTTATTTTTCAGTAATTGTACTTTTATATGGTACATTAACGGTTGCTATTGTTTTGTACTTTCCCTAAGTTATTATTAGTTTATTATGAACCTATTACTCAGTTCCTCACCATTTATGATGCATTTATGCTGACATTGTAATTTCTGTTGTTATGAGGTCAGGATTTGTATAATTTATAAATTCGAACTGTATAAGTCTTCTACCTGCTATGCTGTATCCTATCTTGACTATCGGGCAAGAGAACGTGAGGAACTACATTCTGGACTGATAGTTGTTCATTGTTGTTCTCGGCTGTCATCTCATAACCATTGTGTTATTGGTTAGCCAAAGATCAGTGATAATAGATAGACAGTTCATGAGAACTAATCAACACTTGAACCAGATCAATAGAATTGCTCTCCTTTGATTACTGGCTAATCCCATGGGTCCAAAGAATCACTCAATAAATCTGGTTTGTTTTTCATTATATTAATTTCATTATCAGTATTGTTACTATTGTATACTAAAGACTAATAATAACAATAAAGTATGAATTCAATAAGTTTACTTAATTTTTTTCAGAGAGTACAATTCACGATGCACAAAACTAGTCAGTTGTAATGGTAATAATACAAATCCTGTATGGAATCAAGTTTTTCGATTTACCAATTTGACAGATAATGATTTGAACAAATTACATTTAGAAATTACAATATGGAATTGTAATGAATACTCAGATGAACAATATAAAATTGGAGAGGTACAAAAATATATTATATCTAAATGATCTGTTTGTTTGTTTGTTTTTTCATCGTTTCTTTTAGCGCTTTATATAGTAGTATATTTATGTTTCAGTATTTAACAAATTTATTTAAATTACATTTAATATAGAGGTAGGAATGTTTTCTTTTATTGAAGAGTGTCATGCGTCCAGACTACTTACTTCCTTACGTCTGTTACTTCCAATAAAGCATAGACAGCCAACTAGTATTTTCCAACCCACTCTGTTATAGGCCTTCTTTTCTATTTCTACCCAATTGTTGTTCATTCTTCTCATATCTGTCTCCATTTCTCGGCGTCATGTGTTTTCTTGTCTTCCTTTTCTCCTTCTTTGGCCTTGAGGATTACATATGAGGGCTTGCATTGTGATGCAGTTGTGTGGATTCCTCAATGTGTGTCCTATTCACTTGCAGCAATTGCTCCTGATTTCTTGCTCCACTGGGATCTGGTTTGTTCTCTTCCATAGTAGGTTGTTGCTGATAGTATCTAGCCAACGTATCCAAAGTATTTTACTTAGGTAATTGTTAATAAACACTTGTATCTTCTGGATGATGGCTTTTATTGTTCTCGAAGTTTCCTCCTCATACAGTCGAATTGTCTTGATATTTGTGTTGAAAATTCTGACCTTAGTGTTGGTTGCCAGTTGCTTTGAGTCCTAGATGTTCTTCATTTGCTCTTCAGTTGTAGATATGCTACTCTTGCTTTGCCGATCCGCACCTTCACATCTGCATCAGATCCAAATGGTACGCCAGATATATATACCTGACATGTCTTTATTTATTACTGAGAATGATCATTCACAAATGTTAATTGGATTGAAAAAGCATATTGTTTATCAGGTGTAAAATCATCAAAATTACGAATTTTATACTGTTTATATGCATGATAGATTGTGGAAGTTTGAGGCGTTCATCAGCTTTCAGTATCATCTGTAAATCCTGAGAAGTTGACTTTTTCCCAAAAAAAAAACATGAAGAAGTCAGCATTTTAATTTGTATTAAAAACACTTTACAGTGTTCTAAACCTCGTGTCAATTTATTCTTAATTGGTTGAAATTGAATGACTAAATTTCTTAACAGACTTCAGTTACATTATTTTATGTCTAATTTAGGGAAATAAGCATTGTTAAGTTCCTTGTTTTACTTAGGTAGGGCAGCTTGAACAGATTGAAGCAAACAAAATCAAGTTTCAGAGTTGTAGTACACAGTAGTCTCAGCTAGTCTTTTCTAAGTTGAACTGAGATGTCTATACTATGCCATTCAGATACTAGTTTTAATAGAAGTAATGTCTCTTCGATATTCCAATTATTAAATCAATATCTTCAACAGGAATTCCAATTGTAATTCTCACTTTAGATTCTCACTAGACAGTGTGCAGAGAGATGATTAAACGAAGTGGCCGAACGGTGGTACGAATAAAAAATGTATGCAGTACAAAGGCTTTAGTAAACTACTAATTCAAACCCCAACTACGTATACAAAAACAAGATGTTCAATCTCTCATTTAACCCCATTCCTAACTCTCCTTCCTGCATTCTATGGTAGTGGAATTAAACTATACTGAAGGTCTCTAAACAAATGAAATTATCCGGTCAGACTTAAGATAGGGATTGTTTAATTTTTATGCAATTTTTAGGACGGAATAACGGATAGCCTGTTTTTGATGACGTGGTTAGAATTGTATTAAGAGTGTTAGGGAAAAAAGTTTTAAGATTAGGAGTGCTGTGCTTAGGACAATGTAATTAGCTAGCTTTCAAGAACTGAATAATTTTACCGATTACTCCTAATGTTCAATTCATTTTCAGAACCTGGAATCTGACTAACTGATATTTGAATGACTAACACTTGATAGACCAGTCTCAAGGTTACTTTGTAAATTGTTCAGGGGGATCAACATACTTTAACACTACTCCTCTATATTCAATGATCAGCTATTACTACTCCTGGGTTTTTTTTTCTTACAGTGACTAATTAGCTGTTATAATGTAATAACACCATTGAATGTCAGTTCAGTGGTTTAATGGTTAAACGCTCGCGCATGAGACTGACAGGTCCTGAGTTCGAATCTCGTGAGACGGATCGTGAATGCGCACTGCTGAGGAGTCCCACAGTAAGACGAGACGGCCGTCCAGTACTTCCAAGTTTTCCATGGTGGTCTAGCTTCAAACGACTCATAATCTCAACTATTAAAATTACTATAATATTCACAAAACCCCTTCTGTTAATATAATTCATTTATTTATTATTCATCAAATGGATAGCCATCTCTAAACTAACTTTTTTCTACCTACTTTGATTTAAACTTTGTATAATTTACATAACCTTCTCTCCATACATTTCTTGGTTTCACTAACATTCAACAATATCCATAACCCTTTAATGACAATCTGAAATATATTATTTTTGATAACACATCTTGATAACATACCTTAGAATATCTTGATAAACAATTACACATCTTATATACATTTTATTCTTTATAATTTTGTTATTCAGATTGTAATTGATCTCAGTGTAGCTGACTTATTAGATGTTGGATATTGGTATCCAATAAGATCATTTCATCGTTTCTTTTCTGCAACAGAATTATCAAATATGGTAAGTTTTGATAAAGTTGTTATCATATGTAAATGTTAGATAAATATAAAACTTAAATAGATAGACCGGTGAGACTTAAATTTATGGACGATCTTTGAGTGACTCTAGACTGACCTTGAAAGTGTCTACCTACTTACTAGAGCTAAATGAGAGTTATAAAGCAATTTGAAGAATAAGGATTATGATTTACAGTTGATGGTTAGGGTTAGGAATTAGATTTAAGGTTTTAATCATGAACTGACATCAGCTATAATGCCAAGACTCTATTTAGCCAAATGGGTGAATGAATTTCGTGTCAAAATCTAGGACTTGTTATCGTAAATCTGATTGGTTCGTCCATAAATTATAATCTCACCGATAGACATCAAGTTTTTTATGAATAGATTTGAATAGAACAAGAAATACAGACATAACTGGATAACATGAATTCATTTTATTTCATGGTTTCTGATAAGCTTCTTACTCTTTTATTATTAATCTATTCTAGAATCCTGATGTCAAATCTGCTCCTTACGATCTACAGCAATGTACTACGCGTAAGTTTTTGTCTCCAAAGCTTGTAATTTTCCAGTCAACTTTTAAATATACATGTATATGTATGAATTTGAGTTGATAAAAGAGATTTATAGCTGAGGAAAAGTATTCGTGTGGCGTCTTGTCTTCTGAACTGAATTTATTTAACTGTAATTTCGTTCAATTTATACCTAAAAACATCACCACCTACTCTAGGGAGCCTGTTACCGCTTTATTTAACCAATTAGGCCAGTTTTTTGCTTACTTGGAGAGAGTTGTGATCAATCAATAGCCATCACGTGCCCACTCTGCATGTAAGCCCTATAAAAATTATGTGTGACGATACTGTCATAACATCGATCGATTTCGGTGAGTTTGTTTACTGACTAATGGTCTGAATCATGAGTCGAACTTATCCTCTTGTACAATGTCTTGTAGCATTATTTAGGTAAGGTTAGCAGTGTCAGGGTAACGTGTGCCTTTTGGCTATGAACGAGAAGGTTTCTCCTTGGGCTTCATGCGGGTGAATATACAACTCGGGATTCAGTTTATAGAGGACCGTGACCCGTCGTTTTTACTATAGCTCAGTAGGAGTTATATGATACTCCAAGCACGGTTCTCACTAATAATGGTTAAGCTAGCCATCTGACTTGACGAAGTCAGGTTGTGGATTGGTAGGTTGATTCGTGGAAATATTTCGTGGTCTCTCCTCAGTCCACGGAGGTGTATCCTTGTTACTTGGTAGTTATTTTATCTTGTAGTTCTTTATTTTTGTTTCCGTGAGGTGCAAAATACGGAGTTTTAGTTGTTACATAAATTAGCATTGTATAGTGATACTTATGTAAACTGGCATACAACCCATAGCTATACAACTTAATAAATTACTATTTCTACTTATCTCTCTCTCTCTCTCTCTCTCTCTATATATATATATATATATATATATATATATATATATATATATATTTCATTTCTATAGAAGTTCCAGAAAGACCAATTAAATCAAGATTTCGTGAATCAGAACAACAATGGTCACCGAAATCTGAGTATCGTCATTCCGATATACCAGATGATAATACTAGAAAATTGAAAACCATACGAGATGATTATTCTGATATTGATGAACGGAGATTTTCTGCATCTATTAGACAGAATAGGAAATTTACTGATCATGAATATTACCAAGATGGAAATGAAGATCATCATCGTAGTTCAAGGCTACATCCTAGGTATGTTACTTCATATATTGTCCAATGGAATCTCATAAAATCTGCCTATTATTAAGTTATTTATTTATCCAATTAAAACTATTGATTAATGTTATTACCTAATTTGTCTTATTTTTCGTGATTGCTTATTTAATTATTCATTATTATTTTCGCAAGTAGGTACTATTACCTAACGCATTACTATCGTTTGGATGGTATTAATTTTGTATTAGTGGTGAAGTATCAAATAAAAACTAATTGGAAAAGGAAATTTTCATTGTTACATTCACTCTTTCTTAAAAAATATTTGTTATTAATGGCATTAATATCATCCCTACAAATGTAGTTTGCAAAGATCGATGTTGTTAGGTATAGACTACCTGGTTAGAGTACCCTCGATTAACATGGTCAATGGTTGGAGGGGTTGAGTGACAGGGCCAAGATGGATTCAGTATTTGTCTTCACTTAGATTGTTAATTCGAAAACTACTTCATATCCTTTATTCCATGTCTCTTTTGATTAAGATCATGAATCGATCAATGTTAATCCATCATTGAAAACTAGGTGGAACTGGACGGCCGTTTCGTTTTAGGATAAGACTCCTCATCAGTACACATCCACGATCCCGCACACGGGATGCCCTAAGATATCCAGAGCCACACGTGTGCTACAATGACGATACCAGCGAGTCTGGAAACCTGGCTAGAAAGGGTTGAGCAAACTGTTTCACATTTTCTATATCTAATGTTCATGTACTGCCATTGATTCTATTGCTACTTCTACTACTCTGGTGTTTGTTTTCATAATTTTTTATGATTAACTAACTGTAAAGGTAGTATATAGTGGATAAAACAATCATTTCTACATTAATTTACCAGAAACGTTTATTATTAATGTGATTATTTTCTTCTAATCTTTCAGTACTCAAAATTTTGAATATGGTGGCCTAGAGGAAAATGCTATTCAATCAGATGCTTCAGAATTTTCTGATCTTTCTGAATTATCTAGGATGAGTTTACATACAAGTCAATCAGATCGTCAACGTATGGAATCAATGCAAACATCACGTAAAGGAAGTCAACAATTTGAAACTCCTACACAGTCCTATAATGAAAGACATTCTAGAAATTTACAAAAACCAGATAGATTAGATCGAAATTTCCTACCGTCTACTGAACAATCAACAAGAGCTAGAAGAGATTCAAATAGGATAGAAAAAGATATCATTGTTCCTAATGAAGATGAAGAACATCATGAATTAATTACAAAAGATAATAGAAATTTTGAAAGTGGTTCTAGTCCAAGGATTTCATCAGCTGATAATTATGGAAGTGGTCAAGTTTCACGATCTTTAATAGACAATAAAGTATCTAATTTTGAAATAGCTCAAAATGTTCATCGAGATCAAGTGGATGGAAGGAAAAGGCGACCAAATATAGGCCAAAAGTTTTCTAATGTCCTTGGCCGATCCAATAAGAGTAGCAGTACATCAACTTTAGGTAATTATAATTTTAAATTATAGATAAATTAGTTACTGAAAGGTTGATACCTTTATTGTCATAAAATATATCACTTGTCTATAATATAATTTAAAAGGGTGATAATTAGTTGTAGTATTCTGTAGGTTCAAGAAAGTAGTTATGTCTACCAACCGGTGGTTGATTTTCCAAGAGGTTTGTAAACGAAAAACACTTAGATATATTGATCCTAACGACAAATTACTGTAAGACTTTCCTAACATAATGAACAGAGGTGACTGTTGTGTACTTGTCAAACTTAATTGAATGATATTATTGTCTAATCATATATGAGATTTGTGTATCTCATTATATTTCATTGAGTTAAGTGGAACATACATGGTCAACTGACATTAGAAAAACATAACTTCTATGCGAGCTGATTTTATTGGACAAATTTTATTGTTGCTATAGAGAAATAAAGAAATACCTTGAAAAACAAGTCCACATTTATTAACGTTACATAGTAAAAACATATTTCATGTAAAGCTTGTTGTAAAGATTAATAGCTTTATAAATAATGGCATCATGTAGCTTGGATTGGTTTACGCCTTAGACTGTAGGAAATAGATATTTAATATGACTTGAACGTTGTATAAATGGTAATAAGTGTTTACTATACTTGCCAAGGCACAACATTGGTTTCTATTTTCTATCATTTACGCCGTTGAGTCACCGAATATGATGAAAGGTTTGATAATCGTATTCGCTGGTTGGCTAAAGTTTGTGGAATGATGAAGAAAAATCGATTTAGACAGGGTAAAATTAGATAAACAAAAGTAACTTCAAATAGTGGTATCTTAAAGTTAATCCCATTATTAAAATTACAGTGTATGTTCGTTGTGCTAATTCTCAACCATATCCTATCGATAAAATACGCTTCTGACGGATTCATGCAGAAACTTCATTAAGAGTGGGTAAAATTTGTGATAGTGTATTATAAACTAATTATAGTTACATTGTTACAGTTTCTTTCATTAATTTATTGATGGGTCGTGTGATGCTGAGATATGATTGGTCAATAAACAACGATAGACTTCTCCATGTAAACGACTACATAGGTCATTCTTATGTATAAAAGACGGATTTGTACTCGGGATTCACTATGCGTGTGAAGTGTTAGTGTTTAGGTTGGGGAAACAACTGTCGAATATTGTCTAGAAAGGCTATGAAAGATTCACGATTAAACTGTTCAACCCAGAGAACCCAAAATCTATAAAATCTTCTTTCTGAACTAAAAAGTTTCTTCATCATCAGTTCAGGTCATTGTATAACTGTTTTAAAAAGTAATCTTTTGAATGAAACTAGTGTCACCAACTGGTACCGGTTGATCATCGGATTATATTGCGAATTGTGTAAGATTGAAAATTTTAACCCTTTGATACCAAATCAATGAACTTAAGGTAGGAGATTTATCCCGAGGTCTAAAATTTCGATATTAGATGACTGAAATGTTCATTAGTACAATTTATTAAAGAGTCACAAATGTGAGCAAAAAACTAGTTTACTGCTTCCCTGTCGTTACTAGTTACATAACTAAATTCAATGTTTACGATGTAAACTATCTCTAAATAAGAGAATTTCCATAAGCCTTCTGTGTTTACATATATCTTTCCTGTGTTTTAGATAAAAAATCAAGAACGAGTTTCCAACGTAGTGAAGAAGTATTGCCATTTGGAGGATATGGTGCTATATTTGAAGGTCAAGAACAAGAAGGGTCATTTAGTCATGGAAGATTATCAATGATGCATTGTCCATCAAGTATAGGTAGTGGAAAAAGTGATGGTCGAAATTCTAGATATGGTACAAATTCAGATACTACTGATCAAGACAGGTAAATATTTTCATAAATTCATATTTTCTTCACAAATCATATTCAATCTTTTTTACTATCATTGATACTATTACCAATTCTACTATCTGATGTATGGTTAGTAAAAGTGATTATTCACTACGAGTAAACTGGCATGCACACTGCTGAGTGTTTGATTTCTGATTTCCTTTCGCGTTATTGATTTCTGCACTGAAGTGACTGAGTGTAGAGTACTTATAATTGTGCTATACAAAGTATCGGATAGCCTACCCTCTAATTTTCTATGTCATATCGTGAATTTCGTATCAGATTTAACGCAATCCGATCTATGTATAGCGTATCAATAAAGTATTCAGTCAAGTAGTAGCGAAATCTCGGTTTTTGGTTATATTAACGTATTATATTAGCATAATATGGTAAACAGAGATAATGGTTATAATCTCATAATATCACTATCCACAATTCTACTACTGGTGTATCCTGACGAGAATAATGAATGGTAACTGTTGGAATCTATTTCTGGATTAATATTATACATATATTTTTATTGTATAGTTGTTAAGTAACTAAACTATGTATATTCATGTTCCTCTTATTATAAGTTTCATTTTGACCCATAGGCTATTATTATACGATTTAATGTTCTTGAGTTATGCCCAGTCTATTAATTACAGTCTCCCACATTCACAGCCACTTTTGGCTAGATCTTGCACAAATGATTTTTCTATTTTGTTGTTCGATGTGGTCTGTTTAGTTGGTATAGAAACCCAGTATGTTTGAAATACATGATTCATATAGCAGAGACTGAGATTGGTGTTCTGGACTCAGGAACAAGGACCGATAAAGACTCTAGACTGCTTGTACGGGTCTATGCGTCATTGGTTTGGTCGGTTACATATTAATAAGGCACAGGGCGACATTTTATAACAACTACATTGTTATTAGTTCACTTGATATTGTTTTATTTGAATCTTCCCATTGATGTTTAGGACTGAAATTGTTCAGTTACTGAGTCCTGATAGCCACTTGCTTGTGCAATGGGGTGAAGTTTAATTCACTTGATATTGTTTTACTTGAATCTTCCCATTGATGTTTAGGACTGAAATTGTTCAGTCATGGAGTGAACATCAACTCTGAGATGCAGGTATATCCAGCTGAAGAGTCCCAAATAGGACGAAACGCGCGTCCTGGGTTCCACTGCTAACCACTATCCATCTTTGCTTATACATTGTTATTAATCTTGATATTTTCATCTGGTTGTATTGATGTAATTTGAGAATTTGACCCGAATCACATTTGTTCCAGGTTCTGTGTTGATTATAACTGACTTGACTGACTATACTGGAAGTAATCTGATTTGCCCTTTAAAGGAATGGAAAACAAATAATCCATTGTATTTTGTAAATTTAGATAGTGTATATAAAGTGAATAGAGTATTTGGGTGATTCGATTTGGAAAAAGTGAATTTTATTGAAGTTAGATACTTTGAACAATCTAGTAATACATTTACTTGTCAAGACCTTGTCTATAAAAACATAGAAAGATCGAATGTACATGAAACTAAGTGAATATATGATTTAACAAGAATAACAAGCTTTCAAATCATCACTTTCATTAAGAATGGATTAAATTACTCTAATAACTAAGTTTTCTACAAATCTAACAATAAGACTTGGACAGTTCCTTGATATGTATTTGAAAAATGTTTTAAGAATACAGTTAATTTAGATTCCCTTAGCTTGGACGGTTTAACTGTGAAGCTTTCATTGTTTACCTAGACAATACTAGCATAAACTTCAAATAGAAGTGAGGTATTATAATTTCTTTACAAGTGACTAATAAGACGTTTTGATTAGTTGTTATTACCACTTGTCCAGTTATTTTCTAGATATTTATTTTGATCATATTCCATCCTTTTTAACATGACTTTTGACTTTCTAATTGGTTGAGAAGTTGAATCTATTACAATATGTTGGCTGAATTGAGCGTTTGCCTTTTAAAAGTTCTGTTACTTGTATTGTCTATACCCAAATTTTTAACACTTTTCTTGTCAAACATATCTCTGCAGTTGGCCATATGTACAGATATAAGTGAAGATAGATCGGTTTAAAGCTAATACCACAACCAATTTCAACTAGGTGTTGTATTATGATGGAAGCTAATTGTTATGTATGGGCGAGAATGATAATGATCGGTTGTCTGCTTAGTCAGACATGTAGATAGTCTGACAGGTATTAGATGATGACTCACTTATTATTGACTGTTCATTGTTGTTGGATTGTGTCGGGTTTTTGGTGTGGAAATATATGTACATTGTGGTCAGGCTAATCACATGTTCTTGATCATTTGAGTTGTGTTGAAGTCCTGTAGAACAAACACTGGGAGGGAATCTTGTGTAGATATTCATCAAAGGTAAATTAACATCCCATACATGGAAACGTGGAAACCCAACCGTTATAACATCAGACGAAGTAAAACTGAGCGTTATAACAAATTGTTTTCCAACTATGCTTTGATCTAGAATTATAATCCTCAGTTTTAAATTATGTCAGAACATATTCTCCACCACTGTCAACTGCATTCATTTCTTCCTGGTTTTCGTATAAAAATATCTTGACAAGTAAATTAACCCTCAAATTGTTATTTGTAATGTTGATCTCCTATGTGTATCGAAGTTACGTTAATTTTGTCATATCAATAACACTGATTATATTTAGTTGACATTAAATTTGTTTAAGAAATATGGTTTCATAACGTTATCTATCAAATATTAAGTAGTGATCAATGATGTAAGTTATTATATAACAACAAACATTGATGAGATGGTAATCCCGGAACTAATTCATGGAATGTTTTTAACTCTCTGAAGAAGTCACTTATACTGAGTTACGAAACGTCTGAAAATTTAAAAACTTAATTTCTCCACAAATCTATTATTTTTATTTATAATTCATGGAATATTATTAGACATATTCTTATTATATAATTATTAATTATCTAGATTACTATGTATATGTGTTCCGTTTATCATAAGTATTCAGTTCATCCATATACTAATATCAGATGATTTACTATTCCTAATTTGTTTCCTGTTTATTCCTTACATTCTATCCTATTCCAAGAAACTTTGAGATTGTTCATTTATAATTGTTATTTTTCATTTTATTGTATGATGCAGTCATGTATGTCTGTGTATAAACCAATTCTATCTGAAATATAAATATGGTGGAGTCTGGTTGCTACTTTTGAACTCAAGACAAAACATAAATAGAAGCTCGCTAATAACGGAGCAACAAGGAAATAGTTGTCAGCTCAAGGGCAATAGTGTTGAACGGGTGTGTTATTGCTTAATTTCGGAACACCAGGTGGTCGAGGAAATAGTGGATCTAAAATAGATCAAATCTGATTCAGGTTTCTGACTATTGACTAGGCATGTGATATCGGTTAACTTTGTTAAGACATTACGAAGTACACTATGCTGATGGCCTTAGATAAATCAATCAAAACTAAAGCCGTCCTATGTATATTTCTGCTCGAAATTAAAATCAAAGTTCTTTATTCTTGTATGTTGTGATTAACTAAATGGAAATGTTAATAGTTGGTGACTAAAATTCTTGAAATTGATAAAAAAACATATATACAATCCAACCAAAAAGTAAATATGAAATGATGCTTGAGTTAGATCATAAAAAGTACTTGCTTCTGATGCAGATTGTGTGTTAAAGTACTTGATGTGTTTCAGTGCATAGTCAAGGGTGTTTTTGTAATTAGGAAGCATTTTCCTGTTCTGTCTCTTGACTCTCAATAACAACCCCAAGTCTTTTAAGTCTGTAAACAAAAGGATGGCAAAGCATCATCGCATTATAGCTGATGTCAGTTCATGATAAGTACTCTAAACTCGATTTGTAATTCCCAATACACAGCCCTAGTTTGACTCCCATTATTCAATTTCATTGAAATCAAGAGCCGATCAGTGTAAAACCACCATTGAAAACCCTGAATAACTAGATGGCTATTTTTTACTAGTATGGGACTCCCTAGCAGTGCGCATCCGCGACCCCACACATGGGATCCAAACCCAGGACATTCAGTTACGCGAGAACGCTAAAACCCTATACCACTAAACCGGCATCCAACGGTGTTAATGTCTACCTTCAATCAATCCACGATATTGACCGACCACATTCTATTGTCTTCGGTGGGTAACTGCCTTCCACCCGATACGATTGAATTCCATTGATCACAGCTTCTCAGTAGAACTGCAATAATTCCTTCTCGATGCTAGTCTTTGGTGAACATATGATAATTTTCGGTCTGAGGTTGTGAAGATTGATGAATTTTATCAAAATCATGAACTTATTATTCAACCCTAATTTTTTGTACTTTAGTTAATTCCATTTGATGAAAAACACCCTCTAGGTTTATATTCCTAACTCACAACGTTAGTCTAACTCAAAATATGTAAAATTATTCTTTTTTCATTACTATAATGAACTTTTATTGATTTATTCATTTGAACACATAAATATTGGTAAATAGGTTCACCGAATCCATATGCGTCACACAACTAACATGATTTGTATGTGCGCTGTGAATACTGCCCGGGTGCCCAAACCGGATCAGGTGGTTTTTTTAGGGGGCCACACCCAGAGCCTTCGATCTAAATGTCTGGCCCACCAGGCAGTGGGGAAACGTACGGAGATGCAGTCCCATGGACATGGTAGCTGGTGACCAACAATTGGTTCATACGCCTTTTGTTCCCTCAGAATCCACCATTGGTTTGGAATCAAGGTTTTCCAACTCCCCTAGATAGATCACCCATGTCGATCGACCCGGTTAAAGTGCCAGACATTCGCTTTTCGTCCTTTCAATTTCATAAATAACAGTAATGACGCGAGAAGTCAGTGAGTAGGACTTCCCTGGCAGTAGTTGTATACGCGTGGCTATGTGAGAGCATTTGGAGAGGGAGAGCTGACTCTTCCCACCCTAGGTAGTACCAGGGCATTTGAATAATTTACCATGTATGAATTAATTATTTATATCCAAAACACTATTCCACAGTAATTTTATTATTTTCTATTGTTAATTGTTTTATAACTACTCACTATTTCTCGATTGGCTAATAAGTTGCTCAAGGTCATCCGTACAATATACGGTAAGATCGTAATTTATGGACGACCTTCGAGCGACGTTAAAGTGACCTTGAAAGTGTCTACCTACTTACTAGGGCTAAATGACAGTTATAAAGCAATGTGAAGAATAAGGATTATGATTTACAGTTGATGGTTAGGGTTATGAATTAGATTTAAAGTTTACATCTCGAACTGACATCAGCTGTAGTGCCAGGACGCTATTTAGCCAAATGGGTGAATGAATTTCACACCAAAATCAAAGACTTGTTATCTTATACCTGATTGGTTCGACCATCAATTATAGTCTCGCCGAAACTTGTTGGTCTTTTAAATCCTTAAATATTTCGAAAGTGATCTTTACAATTTAACAGATACATTTAGTAGTTGTATATAGTTTGTAAATAGACTAAACCTAGAGAGCTGATGAATTTAGAATAAAGACTATGTGAATTTAAGTTATTATTTACTTACTTACTTACTTACTTCTGTTACTCCTTGTGGAGGAGTATAGGCCGCCCATCAGTAACCGTACAGTAGAATTGTTTGGACCTTCGTATTGAAGATCATGATTTTGATATTGGTCGACAGTTGTTTTGAGTTCCTATATGTTCTTCAACTGTAGGAATGCTATCCTTTCTTTGTGAATCCCCGCCTTTCCATCTGCATCGAATTCTCATCAACGATGCTACATAGATACATGAAACTTTCCACCTGTTCCAGAGCTTCTCCATCAAGTGTGATTGGGTTGGTCTTCACCGTGTTGTATTTGAAGACCTTGGTTTTCCCTTTGTGTATGTTGGGGCCTACTGATGCAAATGCTGCTGTTACACGAGTTATTGCTTAAAGGAAAACATTAATTTGATTAAAATTTAAAAGCTCCACATACTAATAAGAAACAAAAAATGGATTACATATGAATCCTGGGTAGTTGTTCTTCTTTTGGTTAACTAATTAGCATGTTTTTATTAAGTATATGTCAAACAATTGTCGTATGCTATTTACATATGATTGTAATTGTGTGCTATCTTTTGACTTATTATTTATTTCACTTATGTAATCACATTAATTATTAATCTAAACAATAAAGAATACTTGGGACAACATATTTACTTTTAGGATTGGAGACTCGTATTAATGAGAGTCACTTTAACCTACCGACTAGTATAGTAAATGAATTAGTGGACATATGGTAAGTAGTATAAGAACAAATACAAAACTATCTTAGTTTTAGGTTAAATAGTTGGAGGGAATCGGTAAAAAGCTTTAATCCTACGTTTCATATTAGTTAAGTCTTGTCAGCAATAGATCATCAATTGCATCAAGATCGCAGATAAACCTTACGGACGAATACAAGATAGCACGAAACCTAGATCTAAGTTTTTCAAAAATAAGATATCAAAACATAGTACATACAATGTTAAATAACTTAAGGTAGTGGTCATATTTAAACCGAAGTGATAGAATTCAATCATTACTGATGACTAAGCAACCCTGACACTGGTTACTATTCCCTACTCAATCAACGTAAACCAGCTTAGTTTATTTTGAATATAAAGTGATAAGATTAAAACTCTTGAATATATGCCATGTTACATGATATGATTCGTTGATTAATGAATATCTTTCTGAATACATATTCTTCTTTTCCTTAGTGTTTATATGGGTCGTAATGAATCTCATGTTGGAGAATTTGTTGAAGGTCTTGGTCCAGGACAATTAGTTGGACGACAAGTACTTGGGATGCCTTGTCTTGGAGAAATACAATTAAGCTTTTATGATCGTAAAGGTCATTTAGAAGTTGAAGTAATTCGTGCTAGAGGTTTACAACAAAAAAATACAGCTAAACCATTACCAGCTCCATATGTTAAACTACATTTATTGGAAGGTAAACAATCTGTGGAAAAATTACGAACAATGTATCCTCCAAGACGTACATTGGATCCACTTTATCAACAACAATTATGTTTCTCAGTTCCATATCATGGGAAAATTCTTCAAGTAAGCAACGAGTTTTATTTTCTCATTACATTTTACTTAGTACTATGTATCGAAAGAGGTTTTGTGAAGATTGTAGTAATTTCAATAGTTGAGATCATGAGTCAATTGAAGCTAGTCCACTATGGAAAACTTGGAAGCACTAGGTTCGAATCCTGCGAGGCGGGGTCGTGGATGCGCACTGATGAGGAGTCCCACAATAGGACGAAACGGCCGTCTAATGCTTCCAGGTTTTCCATGGTGGTCTAGCTTCAATTGACTCATGATCTCAACTATTGAAATTAATACTATGTATTTAGAATTAGTTAGAATATATTAATTCAGTGACTGAATTCTGTATGTAAATCCTCTAACCAAGAAAATATAATCAACAGTAAGTCATGTAATGTAAAAAAAGGTAAATATGAAGCATTATTTAAATCTCAGTTTAGTAAGTTCATGAAAGTCAGTTATATCATGCAAAGCATAGTCAAGAGGGAAATGTTTCGTAAATAAGATTAAAAGTACATGTACTTCAAATCTGAAGATTACATCAGTAATGAACGGGAATAAATTCAACATTATTTTTCATAAATAAACAATTCTTTCAATTTTATTAATGTTTTAAAAAGCATTTTGCACAATTAAATCGAATCAAGAGTATATAAGTAATTGAATATCATTGTTTATAATGAATCACTGGAACTGCTTGAATATGAGTCAAACTACTTCTTATCAATAAGTAGTATGTCGTAACCTACAAAAAAACAGTCATAAAAATAATTGTAGTCATGGTCGACAACGCATTTGGCTTTACTGAAGATTCACAGACTACACAAATAGATTTGATTAAGCATTTTGGAAGTTGCTGATTAAATCCATGATAAATTTTCATATAGCCAGAATTCTTTAATATAACTTTTCATAGAAAGCAAATTAAAATGAATTCAATGTTACTTATAAGCTTTATTTACTAAGGCTCAAGATATTTTTACTTGGGATTCTGTCGTTATTCAAACATAGAAATGGTGGAAGTTACATGTAAACCTTTCCGATTAACTGGGAGAACAAAAAAATTTGACAGTTATTCTCAAAAAAGAAACTAAATAAACTCATAGTGATTAAATGTAATTACTAGTTAATTTCAATAACTAAGTCCGCTTGTTACGTTATCGAATGAAGAGAATTTCAACGGGAATGCCTTTGTTTTCCACCTTCATTATCAGAGGTATATTAATTTAAATATTTTTTGTAATATTATGCGGTTCTTAAATATTCTTTGATGAAATTCATATCCAATGATCGAAATAATTATATCTACAGTAACACATGAACTCCCGACCGTCGTTGCTACATTGACGTGGTGGTCAGGCTTGCTCATCGTGACGAAGCAACCGAGCTATACTGTCTGCATCAATCGTTCCTCAAGATCCTACCATGTCAGACAAGGTGGTTGGAGAATGGTAAGACTAAAAGCAATAAACCCAAGGTCCGAAGATGAAGTCGTACTGCTGACTGTACAGAGGTGTGACGACAGTAAGGTTTTTCCTTCAGACAACCAGCATAACAGCGATGCGGCCTTCCCACAAGGAGGGTTGGGGTTAGAAAAGGTCGATCCTAAAAACACACACCTCGCCTTATCCCATGGATATCCGTCTCGGGTGGTAAGGTCTCAACAAGTACGGAGCTAACATGAAAATTACCCACAAAATGTCGCGTGTGGCCGATCTCAAGCAGATGTACTTTGGGCTCTGAAGTCACTCTTTCAGGTCACTACGATCATCTTTAATCCAATTTCCTTCCCTGATACCTCCAAAAGAACCCTTCCACGGTGTGGGCAACCGGGAAGTGACTTCTAACAGCACTCAAGACCTGTGTATTCATGATCAACCTCCTGACTGACTAAACACATGAACTGATGTATTTAAATTCATCTGTCTAAACGTAAAACACTGTCTTTAGGGTTATCCAAAGATATGGGTCTGTTTGAGAATTTTAATTTTATTGCTGCTTCAAAGAGTGTGCTTCTGAACAACTCTGAGATCCATATGTTTAAAACTTCTTCAGCTGAATCACTTTTAAAGTCGACCTTCATGTAATGTATTTCACGACATATACCACATTAATTTACTTTGAGATGTGAATCACATTTCTTGTCCAGGAGTTTTGATGGATACAGTTAAGCGTTCTTGATAGAGAAGCTTTGAAAGATGTAAAAACCTTTACATATCTTGGCAGCATCATTGATGAACACGCTGCATCTGACGCAGATGTGAAGGCGTGAATCTGCAAGGCAAGAGTAGCATATTTACAACTGAAGAGCATCTGGAGCTCAAAGCAACTGTTAACTAATATCAAAGTCAGAATTTCCAATACAAATGTCAAGACAGTTCTACTGTATGGGTCGGAAACTTGGAGAACTACGAAAGCCATCATCCAGAACATACGAGTGTTTATTAACAACTGTCTACGCAAAATACTTCGGATCCGTTGACCAGACACTATTAATAACAATCTAATATGGGAGAGAACAAACCTGATCGCAACACAAGAAGAAATCAGAAAGTAGCACCGAACTGCGTCACAAGTCAAGCTCTCTCATGGAATCCTCAAGGCCAAAGGAGGAGAAGAAGAAGACCAAAGAAACATTACACCGACAAATGAATACAAACATGAGAAGAATAAACAAAAATTAGAAAGAACTAGAAAAGAAGGCCCAGGACAGACTAAGTTGGAGAATGCTGATTGACGGTCTATGCTCCATTGGGAGTAACAAGTGTAGGTAAGTAAGTAAATAAGTTTAATCTAGAATGATGAAACTGTTCAGTGTTCTCCAATCTTCACTTATTACCTAATCAACATCAGTTTATAATGAAAACTTGTTTTATTTTATCATTATTGTCATTATTATAAGTTTCACATGTTTTTTTTAATTATTATTTATTAACATTATATAGATCAGTGTATGGGGTGAATATGGACGTATGGATAAGAAAGTATTTTTAGGAATGTGTGAAATTGTTCTTGATGATTTAGATTTAAAAACAGTTGTATTTGGTTGGTATAAATTATTTGGAATGATTGCATCGAATGCACAACATCATCATCACCATCATCATCATAATCATCATAATCAGAAACCACAACAACAGCAACAACAACAACAACAACAAAGACGAAAAAGTCTATCATCTTCTTCTACACCATCAGATAATCCACAGAATATAAATAACAATAATAATAATAATAAATTAATTGGATCTAAACTTGACAAATTAACTAATCGTAGCAGTAGTATCAGTAGTAGCGGTAATAATAATAATAATAAAAATAATAATAATAATAATAATAATCATGAAAGAAATAATCGAACAAAATCTAAATCATCACAAGAAATCAATAAATCTATACAACAATCAGGATTCAATAAAAATAATAATAATAATGATAGAATACAATCGAATTTGAATATGATTTCATCGAATTTAATAAAACGATAGTAATGAATTCAATGCTCATTTATGCATAGAAATCAATGAATAAAGTGAATGTGATCCTTCTTTTTTATTATTATTATTATTAACCCATTCAGAAATACATTATTATTATCATCATTCTTAAAACATATTTTTTATAGTAACTATATATACATATATGAAATAACTATTACATAATATAAATTATATATTTTCATTCAACAACAAAAGAAGAAAAAAAAAGAAAGAAACTAATCTATTTCACATTATTTTTTATATGAATTATATAATTCTTGCCATATAAAGTATAAATGATTTGGTTTGGGGGTCATCCATTTACCTATGGTAATAGAGTATATATATATATATATATATGTCTGTGAATTAGAGATAAAGCAATAATATTGATTAAAGTTATATCTATTACATCATTCTCTATTTACCAAGTAGATCAGAGGTACTATTTTGTTCAATTACAAATCTATCTATCTATCTATCTTTCATTAATAGTTATCTATAATCATCGAATTCAATAAATTCAATTCTTACAAACATTTAATAACTTAGATTATTATTCTATGTAAATTTTAAAGTGAATTATTTAATTAATTCTATCATAGATATTGAAAAGAACTATTCCAGGAACACATATCTTTGAACAATTTCTTTCATTACTTGAAAAAAAGAAAAAATTAGAAAAAGAAAATATTTCATAACGATTTGTTATGTAATAAGTATTTATAGCCGAATTCTTTACATAATATTTATTTAATCAATTTGTTATCCTCTTATCGATCTATCTACTTAGTTATTACCCCTTTTTTTATAAAAAGAGTATATATATATATCCTTCTTTTTATTTTCCATTCTTCATCTATAACTATACTTATTTATACAGATATAATAATTTATAGATTCTGGGGCCATTAAATTAATCATCTTTTTCCCTTCCCCCTCTCTCTCTCTCTTTGATTTCCTTAAGATATCATTAGAATTATTTGTAATTAATAATACACCTTATGTACTATTATTATGATTGTTGCTAAGATATATTTGTTTTAAAGCAAACAAAAGTCATTTCATATAAATGAATATCTTATATTAGTTCAACAGTGCCAATATATCTTCAAGTATAATTTCTCCCACCCTCCCTTTCTGTCTCTCTCTCTCTCTTTGCCTCTATCTGTATTCCCTAATTTTATCCTATTCTATAAAATCTTTTATTCTTTATGTTTTAACCAGTTTTTCATAATTGTTCATAAAGAATATTTAAAAAAGAAAAAAGAAAAACAAAACTCCCAGTTGATCTTTATTTTCTGTTTATGATAAAATTTAGATTAGATTTCCTCAATAGTTTAATTAAAATATAGTTTGTTTATCTGTTGAATTATGTAAGAAAAAATAAATTGAAAGAAATAATTTTTAAAAAAAAATTTTAAAAAGAAAAAAACACATGGAAACTATTCACTTGAATGTTTGTAAAGTCCATTTTTTTTTTCATTTAACGTTCACAGAAAAAATAATAATAATAATTTCGAAATTTATTATGATCTGGTTTCTTTTTTTGTTGTTGTTGTTGTTTTTTAGTCAAACTGATTTATTTTTTAAATGAACTAAAGGAGGAAAATGTGTTGCATTTTACTCCGACTAAGTGGTTTATAATTATGATGTAACCTTATCGAATGTGTGGCAATTATCTACCAAAGAGAATGGAAGATGATCGCTCAATGTTGTAGATTAGTTGAAGTTAGATATTAACATTGTTGAATACTAGTTTAGTGATTTAGAGGTTAAGTGTTCGCATGTGATCAAATGTCCTGGGTTTGAGTTTCACATACGGGATCGTGTATGAGCACTACTAGGGATTCCCATACTATGACGAAACAGTCATCCTATTCTTTCACGTTTCCAATGGTGGTTTGACATTGGTTGGTTCATGGTCTCATTTAAAATTACAATGCTCTTTTTGAATCTTGAATGGCCTAGATTCCCTCTTATAAGAGGTCATGTGCATTGATTTGCTAACAAGAACCAATCTAGGCCGATTCAGTTGTCCAGCAATTCCCAGTGTTAAACAGTTCTCTATCTTTTCAAGTTTCATATCGTTACTTCAGACTATTTTTGTTAATGACATATGGTTACAATCGATAATTTCAAATGGAGATAAGTATGGCATCAAAGGTCATTTCAAAATCCACACACGCGTGCTCAACTAACAGAATTTTTCAGAGGTGATTCCGGACTTTATTATCTTATGACAAATAGTTTAAAACTAAGCTATTCGAAATCCTGTACACTTGCTTTTGCTTCTTCTTGATTAACGGTATTCTTATCTTATACCATTTAAATGCCCTGGTACGGTTCCAAAACAGTGGTGCACATGGACTCCAGAATTCTAAGGGAACAAATGGCGTATGAACCAATTGTTGGTCACCAGCTACCGTAACTATGGGGTTGCATCCCCTCGCGTTGCTCCACTGCCTTGTGGATTAGACCTTTAGGTCAAAGGTTCCGGGTGATGCCCCTTAAGAAAAGCAACTGCTTCAGCTTGAGCACCCGGGCAATATCACAACGCATACACAAATCAAGTAACTTTTGTGGCGCATATGTATTTGGTGTTTCCTTGTACCGATGTTTATGTGTTCAAATAAATAAAACAAATGAGTAGAAAAAAAACCGTGGAACTATGTTTCATGCTATTCGAATGATTTATGTGGTGCATATCTATTTCGTGCCTACTCGTAAAAATGATTATGTGTATAAATAAGATAAATAATCATTTGTGAGATTTCTACTGTATCAGTATAGAGTTGTGGAGATTATTAAGTTTTTGATTGAGATCATGAACCGATTGATGTTAGACCACCATTGAAAACCTGGAAGCACTGGACGGCCGTTTCCTCCTATTGTGGGACTCCTTAGCAGTGCGCATCCGCGAAGCCACTCGTGGGGTTCAAACATCAGTTGGTTCATGGTCTCAATCAAAAACTTAATAATCTCCACAACCCTACACTGATAATTACCACTATCGACTAGCTTCGTGAGTGAATTCTCGGAGTTCTAGTGAGAAGCATTGACCAGTGGAGCTAATCCGTGTCGGATAGAGAAAAGTATCTACCTCAATAAAACGGAAGATAGTCGTGGCTTGGTTGAGGTTAGACATTAACACCATTGGATGCTGGTTCAGTAATCTAGAGGTTAAGCGTCCGCGCATGAAACTGAAAGGCTTGAGTTCGGATCCCGCGAGCGGGATCATGGATGTGCACCGCTAAGGAGTTCCACAGTAGGACGAAATGGTTGCTCAGTGCTTCCAGGTTTTCAACGGTGGTCTAACATCAGTCGATCCATGATCTCAATCAAAAATATCTTCTGTACTTGATTTCAGATAACTCGAGAGAAATAAATTGTCACAACAAAACCATTTGATATGTATTGGGTGGTGATTGCAAAAACAATTACTTGGATCTTGTTGAAACGTTCAGAGAGACAAATCCGATAAACACTCAAGTAAACTATTGGTTTGTTTTGTTAGTACCAAAATTCAGTTTCCTAACGTTTGTGTGTCTTTTTGGTTACATCTGTTCGTGCTGTGTCCCACTGACTTATATCGCGGTTGGATTAGAAAACCGTGCGAATATATATCGATTAGAATGCTGTTTATTAGTGTTGTTATTGTATAGATTTATCTGAAAATTATTTACGAAATGCAATTTTTATTCTGTATGAGCAGTTGTGGTTTGTAACAATTAGCAGTCACATTTTACCATTTACACCCTTTTATTCGCATTTCCACGAAGTTGGTCGGTTGGAGGTTTCATAAGGGACGCGCAGTTCGGCATAAACCATCTATAGAAACTTAAAAGGTCGGTTAATGTGCGTAATTACTTGATTATGGTTGGTTCTGGGTAATCTAGAATGGCCTTCACTCTGCTTTTCAGTGGTTAGATTCCTTGAGCGTCAATAGTATATCTGAGGAAATCTAGGAATCCGGTTCCGATTTGACATTTATGAATGTTTACAGTAATCCCATGCTTTTGTAGTCGGTAGAAGACAAGGTCTAGATGCTGGAGATAGGATTCTCTGTCCGGACTTGCAATCAAGCAGTCATCAACGTATGTAAGCATGAAGTTGAGACCTCGATAAACGTCATCGATGAACCTTTGGAAGGTTTGTGCATGCGCAAAATCTCGTGGAGACCCAGTGGAGTGATGGTAGCGGTTTAAGGGATGTCGTCAGCAGCCATAGGAATTTAGTTATATGCTATAACCAAGCCGATTTCCAAAATAACAGTTGTACCCTTCAAGGCAGCTGTCAAATCGTGAATGCGAGGCAACGGGTAACGATCGGCAGTGATTTTCGCGTTCATTCGCCGATAATCTCCAGTTGGACGCCAGTTGTTGCTGTCCTTCTTAGGGACCATGTGCAAGGAGGATACCCATGGGCTGTTTGATGTCCGAATGATTCCTTGATTTATCATGTGATCAAATCCGTTTTTAGTCAACCTCAGCTTTTCGAGAGCCAGTCGGCGTGCTTTCGAGAATACAGCTGGTTTTGTAGTCTTGATGTGATGTGTAACATTGCTAGTTACACACGGCAATTTCTGTCGCGTTTGGTATATCCCAGAATACGTATCAAGTAATGGTTGATAAAATGGGTATGTAGTGGCATTGGGCCCTAACACCAGACAATATGGAAAATAGACACTCAACATTTAACGCTAGGAAATACCTAACAATGGAGAAGGCTCGAATAATGAATTGAATTAATTGGAGTTGATCGTACTGCATGGCTCGGCCATGCAGGCGTGGTTCCTGCTGAATGTTACGTTGGATCTTTTATTCATATTAAATATATTGTTCCATCTCTAGCCTCAGATTGTTCTATATCATGTATTGGTAATTGTTACGATGCAGTGAGTTAGTGTAGATGATGATGTGACTTCCAGGTAAGATCTTATAGATTAGGCAGTTACATCATAACAAAGGTACAATTTAAGGACTAGGTCTATTATTAGAGCAGTGCTAACATCATGGTAGACTATGATTCCACAGGTCTATATTGTGCCTAAGTGTGACAGGAGATAATCTGAAACCGGAAAAACAAGTTACACAAACAGATAAGTAGGTGTTTCTATCTATTAACCTCCGTTTGCGCGTATCGATGGGTAAAATATGATGTTTTAGCAGGTCTATGAGATTAGTTGATATGGAAGCCCCTGCAACAACAAAAATCCAGTGGATGTGTTTGAGTAAACTCACATTAAAGTAGGCGTAACGCTTACCATATGTGGCGATCGGTTTTCCGTTTACCGCCGACAATTTTAAAGCCATTTCGGGCAGCCGATGGTTAGAGGTCGCTAGAAATACGCTAACTTCTGTGCCTGTATCGGCGAGGTAGCAAACTTTCATTATCACATCTGTGACGTATAACAGACGATCATGTTCGCCGGATCAGGCTGCCGTTAACGCGTGCTGGCTGAGACGTTTCCCGAATTGTTTATTGTGTCGGTCTATTATGAGTTATGAAAATTGCAGGGTTTTCTTCGATTTCGAGATTTCCCTTACTGATTATGATACCAGCACCAATCAGGATTATCCGTCTTTCGAGGTCTGGAGACAGATCGCTTAAGTGAAGTGCTTCTTTGCGACGTACGTGATCGTTTACGGTCGTTACTAAATCTAAGACAACGTTTAAGTGTATAACAAAATTTCGTAACGTCATTCTTGGTCGTTTGAGGTTTTTCTTTGACTGGAAAAACCTCAGCATTAGAAGATTTTGTGATTTCTGGGATGCGGTTGACAGATGCAGCCAGCTCGTCTACGGCGTTGTTTTCAAACGAGATCAGCACAGCTTGCACCTGTTGAGGAAGTTTGGATAAGAAAAGTTGTTTGAACAGGCCATCATCGAAGGTTCTTTGGCCGATAACCTCTCTCATTCTTTGTAACATGTCTGTCGCGGAACCGTGTTGCAGTTCGATATTATTGAGGACTTAGTTTAATCTTTGTCGAACGGTTAGACATCCGCGTTAAAGGATAGGTCATGTAAGTGTTTCATAGGGTTCTAAAACATCACTACTAAGCAAACTAGGTGTTACGTACCTGTTGAATACTACGAGGAATTGTGCACGTGTGTCGTTCACGCCGTGCTCGTGGAAGTCGGCCTCTGCATAACAGAATCAGGTCTCGGTATTGTCGGGCCAGAAGGGCATTAGTTAAAACAAAGGTGCGGACATAGTCCCATAACTTATAATTTCCAACGTTATGGATCAAATTTTCTTATATGTACAATATATGCACTTTGTTTTATATTTTAAAATGGTCTGTTTTGAGTCACGTGAAATCATTGCAGAAATGGTGTTTAAGGGATGAGAAACTTTTCAAAGTAAGTGTTTTGATTGGTACTTGAAACTTAGGCTTACTAATCTGAAAATACACGACCTGTTATACTAGTTAACATGGACCCTCTATGAAATTGGGAAACTCTTATTATCCCTACCAGTCCAGTGATCTCAGGAGTTTTATAAGATCTGATGAGTGTGTGACTAGACAATTCTCAGCATAAACACACAAGTAGCTCAGCACTTCATAAACTTAGCCAAAGTTTCTTCGTTTGTGCAATGGTTGTAGAGGTAATTAAATAGCTCTGTAAGTCTTTGAAATTGGGTACTGACCACATTACTTTCAATGGACTCGCCTAACTGAGGGCCCTCAGTCACGCATCCGCATCAGATTACAAGTGGGGTACGCTGTGATACACATCTCCTCCAACTACTAGCCAGCTTGGATTAGTCACTTCTCGATATAACTATATTCTATCAAATATATCTTAGAACCCCTTCGCTTCTGACTTTTGATTTCAGTGGATGGGCACCATTCAATTATAGAAGGTGGTACTGGTTAAGGTGTTATCAAACTCTGAATACTTGTGACATCTATATGCGTCCGGTTGTTAGGAAAGCTTAATGACAAGGCAAGTCCACTAACTATAAGAAGTGTTCGAAAAGTAATTCTCAAAGGAATCGCTCTCAAACCTACCGGCCGGACACCGAGGTTACATTAAAAGATTTTACAGGAGTCATTTAATCACTTTTGAAACAGAGTTCCATAGTTCACTGAATGTAACCATGAAAACGTTTGCTCTGATTTTTCTGCATGCTCGCTCGTATTATACCTTGAATGGGCATCGTCTCAAGTGCACGTTAGTTTCAAAAACAAAACTGATTATTGAAGGGAGTAATCACCATTAAGATACCAAAAGTATTCGGAGTTTGATAACACCTTAACCAGTACTACCTTATATAATTGAATGATGCCCATCCACTGAAATCAAAAATCAGAAGCGAAGGGGTTCTAAGATATATTTGATAGAATATAGTTATATCGAGAAGTGACTAATCTAAGGTGGCTGGTAATTGTAGGAGATGTGAAGCGTGACTGAGAGCCTTCAGTTAGGTGAGTCGAAGACTTACAAAGTTATTTATTTTGGCGATTTATTTACCACAACAAGAACACCCCGAGTAGCAAATATCTCGTTAATACTTATTGATCATTACACATCGATTATGAATTTAGATAGAGGATTGTCCTCTGTACTTTTTTATTTTTCAAACCATCTTGGTTTACTACCAAAGGTCGATGTTCATTGAACGATAATTTTATTTCAAAACATATAAGAGAGGAAACACGGAAAAATAACCAATTTTATCGATTCCATAGCTTTGAAACTTATAGCACAAAGTAAGTTAGGTGATTAGTTTTACTTCTCCAGTCATCCCTAGATGTCGTTGTTTAAATCCATACATGTGAATTTAGTCGCGTAGTCTTAAGACGGGTCGGCCACATGGGTTCTTTCGATGCTTATGGTCCGAATTCGCAAGCCCTAACATTCTTCGATCCTGAAGAAAATGATTTGATTGGAGGAGATACACAGGGACCTGATTATGACTGTTCTGATTTCACTCTGCCTTCACAGTCTCAAACACAAGCATCTCAACTTGACCCTGATAAAAATTGCTTCTCTCAGCAGGTATGTTGGTACGCTAGTTAGTCTTACATGTTATCAGCATGATGGGTCCAATACCATGGATGTACTGTCTCAACGTGTTGCTGACTTGGACTTCAAAGATGAAGACATAGATGACTCTAGTGTTGATTTACCAGAGCACGCGTGTGCTTACTGTGGTATTCATGACCCTGCTTGTGTAGTATTTTGTAACACCACGAAAAAGTGGTTTTGCAATGGCCGAGGCAACACCTCAGGGAGGTTAGTTAATTTAGTATATTATTCTGTTCAGTCATATCATCAATCATCTTGTTAGAGCTCGTGCAAAAGAAGTCACTTTGCACAAAGACGGACCTTTAAAAGATACTCTCTTGGAATGCTATGTATGTGGGTCCAAAAATGTATTTCTGCTTGGTTTTGTGCCGGCGAAGTCTGAGTCTGTCGTCGTACTCTTGTGTCGTAATGTCTGTGCTAATGCAAACAAAGACATGTACTGGGATCCTGCTCAGTGGCAACCGATAATTCAAGGACGTCAGTTTCTTGCTTGGCTTGTGAAAGTTCCAAGTGATGAACAGCAGGCGAAAGCTCGACAGATATCGGCTCAACAAATAAACCGACTGGAAGAAATATGGAAAGAAAATCCTCAGGCGGCAGTGGAGGATCTAGAAAAACCCGGTGCAGATAACGAAGTTAACCCAGTGTTGTTAAGGTAAGCTTTACCCTCAAGGTCCTTACCTCTTAAAGATATGAAAATTCACAGCAGTATCGAGATGTATTCACACCTTTAGTGGAATTAGAGGCTGACTACGACAAAAAGATCAAAGAATCCCTAAAGTTGGAGAATGTTTCCGTTCGTTGGGAGACTGCCCTTAACAAACGCCGGGTGGCTTACTTCCGGATTCCTGGTGCCAACGAAGGTACATAATTTATTAATATTTCGCTCATATATTACACCTGGATTTTTAAGTTCTCAGACATGTATACAATTGTTTTTAAAATACCTTACAAATATTAGTGCAGGCAGTTCAGTATCATATTGAAAATATATGACAACGAAGTCTTCGTTCCGTACAGTGAATTTGATCTTATGTTTGAACGTGGTCCTTATGATTTCAAAGCATTTCGTGAAGCAAGTTTTATAAAATGAAGTAAATGCTTAGTATAATCTGTAAATCTTCTACACTAACTTTTGCCGATAGTGATTAACCAATTGGTTCGTGTATGCATTCCTTGAACGTATGTACTTTGTGTGTGCTGAGTGATATTTGCATATGATTTTAATATATCTCCACTGATACATCGTATTACTTTCTAGGCCCAGAACTACGTATTATGCATGGGGATGAGTTGATCATTCGTCAATTCAACAGCCCGAACGATTATTTGGTTGGTGACGGTCATGTTATCAAAGTACCTGACAGTAAGTTTGCGTATCATATGAAATATATACGGACTTCATGCAGGTGTATGTTACCATTTGCATACTGAGGATGCCATTAATTTATATTGTGTAAATAAACTAGTCACCACGTGTTTTAATCACTTGGTGACAGTAAAATTGGAACATTACAGAGAAGGCTAGTATGGCTTATGCGCAAGGATGACATGGGAAACATGAAGTGCCTCTTGTATAGTTCTCAGTAGCGCAAGTGCATTCACTGTTTTCCCTTAGGTCCTACGTTTCTAAATATCTCACAAATTTTTTGTGTTACTAATCCATATTTTATCGAATTGTATCTTCGATGCCCATTTCGGTTCCCACATATACTGTTAGGACCTCTACTACGGAATTTACCCTAGCAATTTCATCTCTCTATGCTAATGGGGTATAATGACTTAAACTGATGTACGTATGTACCAAGTTGTATGTTACTTATAAATAGCTAGCTAAATTCTATCATTTTGTCGGTAACTGCGTGAATTTCAGACTATAGAGTGACTTGAATAGATTTAAATATCATTTGGAAATGTCTCGTTTGTTCTGAGCTAATGCAATTAGTTTTTATTTAAAATGCCGTCAAAAGCTCATTACCAAACATCAAATTTAAGTTCACTCGTACACGTGATTGGCACTAATGGACATCTCCAAAATTATGTTGAGATATCCATATCATATCATCACTAGTAGGTTCTGCTGTTATCAGAAGAAAATCCTTATTTCAACTAAGTATTGGACTGATCAAATTGTGGATGATCATATTTTCCTTTTGTAAGACTGTACGCTTCCCATTGCAGATCGAAAACGATAATTGTCTGTAAGCTTTTTAGCGGGTTTTAGTACCTATTAATAACTTTTGGGAGACAATGGTCACAATAACTCGCGAAGTTGCCTGAGGATTCTCATGGGGTTTACCAAAATATACTTAGAAGTAAAGATTCACATTTATTTGATGGGTTTCAGTACCATTTATTTGTAATGTAGATGAGGGATGGCTACATAAACCGATTCTACTTTACGGCTGCGAAACATGGCCTTTTCAGTCAGTCAGCTACAACGTAGGACCAGGCACATATATGCATCGGTCCAAGTTGCCATACCTCATTAGCACAGCAAGAAGATACTCGTAATCTACCAGTATTTGATGACATGTCTTAGTAATATTGCTTACATCTGCTGGGATCACCGGGTAAGTAATAGTGAAGATAGACGTAGGGTATTAGGGAGTGATGGTGAATCTGTCTATGAATCTTTATCGACTGAGATGGTGGGGCCATGTGTTACGTCTGCTTGAACACCGTTTACTGCGACGTGCAAAGCTGACTAGTGTTGGAGACGGTTGGAAAAATGTTATTGGCCACTAAATCAAAATGTTGAAGTCACTAAATTCTAGTCTAAACGATGTTGGTAGATGCAGACTACTTGGTTAGAGACTCACATGGTTCAGAATCGATCACAATGGCGTAGGTGTATACACTCTTTGTTTAGCCTTAAACCGTTAAATTAGAATTACTTTACGAACTAATTCTTTTTGTATAGTCTTTCTTTTATATATTACTATGATTAGAGTAACTACTATGAATTCGTTCATCTTGTGCTAATGAGGTTTGGCAACTTGGACCGATGCATATATATAGCTGACTGACTTAAACCGATGTACATACGTACCAGGTTCTACCTTAAGACTGACTGTGATGTGGATGCTAGTATATTACGGTATCGAAATCTTTTATCCAATGATTAAAATCTGGGCTTAGGCCGTAGACCCTTAAATAGACTCATCTTAATTTTTGTTGGTTTCAGATGTGATCGATTTTAACCTTTCCTAAAATGAGGTTTTTGATGCGACTGAATTGTGTTTCATTTCATTGTGCTATTCTAATATGACAAAAATATGAAGTGCATTTCGCTTATGTAGTTTTCATCTCTTCAATAAATTTTACCAGACAATATAGATGTAAACATTTATTCAAGTGTATTTATGATTTTACTACAAGGTGACATTTTATATTTTCTCCTTAGATTTCAGTGATGAAGTCGGTTTGGAAATGAAGCAAGTCATTGATACACCTCTAGAGCCTGTGACTTACAAAATCGAATTTAAATGGAAGTCAACTCCATTCGATAGAATGCGACGAGCGATTTCTGTTGTTACCGACGAACAACACGGTTTATTACCACCATACATATTCTACCGACTACTTGGCCAAGAATTAGATGATATGGTGTTGAAATGCAACTTACCTAAACGCTATTCTGCACCAGACTTACCGGAGCTAAATCACAGCCAAGTGTTTGCCGTCAAAACAGTTCTCCAACGTCCACTTAGTCTGATACAGGGTCCACCCGGAACGGGTAAAACTGTGACGTCTGCGTCAATAGTTTATCACTTGAACCAAATACATCAAAAAAAGGTATTGGTTGTAGCTCCTAGCAACACTGCAGTTGACCAGTTATGCGAAAAGATTGACCGTACCGGATTAAAAGTTGTGCGCTTATGTGCAAGATCTAGAGAAGCTCTAGCATCTCCTGTCAGCCGTCTTATGCTACACATACAGGCCCAAAATGTAAAGGGTCATACTGAACTTCGAAAGTTACAACAATTGAAAGATGAGACTGGCGAGCTAAGTCAGGACGATGATAAACGTTATCGTGTTCTAAAACGGGAACTTGAACGTAAGTTACGAGTTTTAACAACACTTTTGTACTATGCGTAAACTGTAGAGGCTAGGAAATACTGATTATCATAATTAGTTTCTTTTGTACAAGCGCTAATTAAGTTCTAAAAAATTTAGTCACATTAAAGACCTATATATATATATATATATATATATATATATATATATATATATATATACATATAAATTGTCAGGAGGATTTTTGTAGATTGTAGCAATTTAATAGTTGAATTCACTAAACGATTAAAGCTAGATCACCATGGAAAACCTGGAAGCACTAGAGGTCGTCCCATCCTAGTGTGGGACTCCTCAAATGTGTGCATCCACGATCCATCCTCCAGAGCTTCTAGGTTTTCCATGGTGCTCTAGCTTTATTCGACTCATGAATTCAACTATTAAAATGTATATGATTGTTGTTTATTTATTACTTATATAATTAAACACATAGGCATTGGTACAAGGAGGCACCAAACAGATATGCGCCACATAAACCATTCGATTTGTGTGAGGGCTGGGATACTGCCTAGGTGCCCAAACCAAAGTAGGTAGTTTGCTTAGGGGACCATGCCCCGAGTCTTCGACCTTAAGGTCTGACCTCCCAGGTAGTGGAGAAACTTCAGGAGATGCAGTCCTTGGTAACCGGTGACCATCAATAGGTTCATACGCTATCTGTTCCTTCAGGATCCTGCAGCCCATGTGCACCATTGATTTGGAATTAGGGTTTTCCAGCTTCCCTAAGTGGATCCTCCATATCCACTAACCCGATTAAAACGCTGAACATTCGCTTTTCGTCCTCTCAATTTCGTAAACAATTGTAATGCTGCAAGAAGGCAATCAAAAGGAATTCCCTGACAGTGGTATGCACGTGGCCATGTGAGAGCATTTCGAAAGGATGAGCTGATTCTCGCCACTTGTCCGTGCCAGGGCATTTTGGGGCTATAATAATTATTATTAACTGGTTATTTTCTATCAGAAAACGCATTGGCATTGTATGTGGCATTATGTAACCAAGCGTCACTTTCTGTATTTAGTTGTCTAATAAGTGTTCTGTTTTTCTCATCAGGGGAACTCCTTATGGCAGCTGATGTAGTTTGCTGCACATGTGTAACTGCTGGTGATGCACGTCTGGAGCGATTAAGTTTTCATTCAGTTTTAATTGATGAGTCTACCCAGGCTACTGAACCAGAGTGTCTAATACCATTAATGGTAGGCTGTCGCCAGGTTGTTCTAGTTGGTGATCATTGTCAATTGGGACCTGTAATTACGTGTAAAAAAGCTGCTAGCGCCGGACTAACTCAGAGTTTGTTTGAGCGATTTGTTTTACTGGGTATTCGACCTATACGTCTACAGGTACGTTAGATATTTCAAGTCATGTTTCTTCATTGAAACAAAGGCTTGATTTTGCACGTTTTAATTTCCGAATGTAGCAAAGTGGACTTACCAAATGAAATAACAGTTTTTTCCACATAGTAGTCGTTTACATTTTAAGTCAGTCAGTCAGCTACAACGTAGGACCAGGCACATATATGCATCGGTCTAAGATGCCATACCTCATTAGCACAAGATGAACACCAGATTCATAGAAGTAGTTAATTCAGTGGTGGTAATATGTAAAAGAAAGACTGTATAAGGATATAGTGCAGGAAAAAAGAAATAGTTCGTAGAAAGAAAGATATGAAGCGATTTTAATATCATAGTTTAAGGGAAGACAGAGTGTATACACCGACGCCATTGTGATGGATTCTGAGCCATGTCACACACAGTCTTCAACCGTTGGTTACGATAGTCGCGTCGACCCCTATCAAGTGGTGTACATATACCAACATGGCTCAGACTAGAAGTTAGTGACTTAAAGCACTGACGCCACGTTTTGTCATGGCTGCTACTAACTATCTTCCATCCGTCCTCAACACTAGTCAGCATTGCGCGTCGTGCTAATCGGTGTTCAGGCATACGTAACTAGTGGCCCAACCATCTCAGTCGATGAAGATTCACAACCTCGTCAACTGATTTACCATCATTCCCTACTACCCCATTTCTAACCTCACTATTACTTTTAAGATAGTAGCCTGTCTCGATTCAGTATTGCATTTGAGTTTCCGTAGCTGCCAATATCTAATTGGATTACAGACGCTTCATAAATAAAATGGCTTGACGATTTCAAACGCCTTTAATAGATTACAATAATCATCCGAAGTTCCCACTTGTTGCAGAAGGCAGTATGTTTGATGTCGCTGGAATCAAGATTGACGAGCTTAAGGATCCCAGAACTTCACTGACCTGTGTTGGTTATCACAATTTTCATTCAACTAAGCAAATGAATGTATCTAGCATTCTTTTCCACTCAGTAGATCTTGACATTCCCAGAACTTTAGCTTATAGTGTACTTAAGTGTAAGCAGTTAGATTAAACACTCGGGTTTCCTCTCTAACGCAAAAGCTTAACTGAGAGAAAATATATTCAACTGTTAAGTTCTGTCATCATGCCGTTGCTTGTAATATATTATTAATTGGAATAAAGAATATAAAATACAAATCTTATAGCTCATTGTTTCAATTAATTTTTAATCGACTTCCAAGTAATATCGTAAAGAGCATATTCCAATATAATTGTTTGGTACTTCTATTGTTAAGGTCCAGTATCGTATGCACCCCGCTCTTTCGGCCTTTCCAAGTAATGTTTTTTATGAGGGTAGTTTGCAGAATGGAGTGACAGCAGAGGATCGTTGCAAAAAGATCGATTTTCCATGGCCAAATCCAGACAGGCCTATGTTTTTCTACTGCACATCTGGACAGGAAGAAATATCTGGTAATGGTGTATCATACCTAAATCGAACAGAGGCAGCAACTGTTGAAAAAATCGTCACAAAGTGAGTTAACCTAAAGTTTCTTAATTTGTACTTTTGCCCTGGTACGGCCGAGAGTGGGGAGAGTCCGCTCTCCCTCTCGAAATGCTCTCACATGGCCACTCGTATATAGCCCCTGCCAGGGAAGTCCTACTCACTGCCTTCACGTGGCGGGGGTGTTGTTTACGAAAATGAGAGGACGAAAAGCGAATGTCCGGCGCTTTAACCGGGTCCCCAACCAATGGTGCACATGGGCTCCAGTATCCTGAAGGAACAAATGGCGTATGAACCAATCGTTGGTCACCGGCTACCATGGGACTGCATCTCCTCACGATGCTCCACTGCCTTGTGGATCAGACGCTCAGGTCAAAGGCTCGGGGTGTGGCCCCCTAAGCAAACCACCTGGTTCGGTTTGGGCACCTGGGCAGTATTACAGCCCTCACACAAATCAATTGAGATTCGTGTGGCGCATATGTATTTGGTGCCTCCTTGTACCAATATCTATGTGTTAAAATAAATAAATAAATAAATATTTTCGATGAGATATACATAAATTGTTCCCCATAGATTTAACTTATTTTGTATTAAAAACGTTTATCGTCACTTCATTTTATGTGTGTGCTGTGATACTACCCGAGTGCCTAGACCGAAGCAGGTGATTTTCTTAGGGGGGCCACACCCCGAGCCTTTGACCTAAAGGTCTAATCCACGAGGCAGTGGAACAACGTAAAGAGATACAGTCTCATGGTAGCTGGAGACTAACAATTGGTTCATACGCCATTTGGTTCGGAATCAGGGTTTTCCAACTCCATTCGGTGGACTCACCGGCCCGGTTAAAGCGCTGGACATTCGCTTTTCATCCTTTCAATTTCGTAAACAACACCCGCGCCGCGAGGAAACAGTGAGTAGAACGTTAGTAACCGCTGATTGCCGATTTAGACCGAAGTACCCTATTTTTCTCAATGAACTGAACCTACTTTTGCTGTGATTTATTTTTATGCTCGTTGAATCAGCTAATACTGCTCACTATGTATTGTAAAACGATTGATAGCCCATACGACATAATGATTCGTTCCTCAAACTACCGATCAGGAAGATCATACAAGTATCTAGCACTATTTTATACTATTCAGACGTTAAATGATGTGCTTATTTATTTGAAATACAATAATAATAAAGCACGCCATTGATATTAATATGAATAGTATGCATAAAATCAAAGCATTTGTGGCACAATTGAGCAATATGTCAGTAGCTAGATTGCTGTAACTTACGGATGGCAAATTTATTGTCATGGTTAATAATGTCGAACAAAAGTTTAGATTTAGAATCATACATAAATCAATTGTTTGATGAATACACGTTACAGAATCACTAGAAAATAGCTTCTCAGGGTCGGTACTTTTAAATATTCACCTCTTGGTACCCGCATTGCAGAAAAATTAGTTGCATGACCATGTCTAAAAGTTGATTTATGATCGATCTGGTTGCATCGAGTTTTTCGTAAGTTTAGTTCAGAATTTGTCATTATCCTTTGTACTTATAAAACATCATTTTAAACATAGTTCAACATCACTCAAAAATCACTTAAAATACTGTCAAATATTTATTTAGCTTTCATTTTACTGTTGGCACAGTTCCCATTAACTTAAGTTTGAGGTCGCTTATCAAAGGGTTACAATCAGTTACTTATATTTTGTTGTTCTTCAATTATATTTGACCTCCACTTTGAATTAATTTAGACTTGCTAGCCGTTAGCAAATGTTTCAAGTATAATTCTGCTATTCGCTTTTCTAATTTTATTTTCCAGGATGCTGAAAATAGGTGTTCATCCGAATACTATCGGAGTAATCACACCTTATGAGGGACAGCGTGCATACTTAGCACATTATCTTCATTATTCTGGTTCCTTAAATGCCAAATTGTACCAAGAAATCGAAATCGCTAGCGTGGATGCCTTCCAAGGGCGAGAAAAGGATTATATCATCTTGTCGTGTGTCCGAGCAAATGAAAATCAAGGTATTGGTTTTCTCAATGACCCACGTCGTTTGAATGTTGCTCTCACCCGTGCTCGTTACGGATTAATAGTAGTTGGAAATCCAAAGGCTTTGTGCAAGGTAATGCTTTTATTTTTTGCAATGTATCAAGAGTATATTCAATTTATATTGATAATTGGTGCTTTAGACTAGATCATTCATTGTCCTAATGGATAATATACATTGCAGGATTTATTTTTTAAGAAAATACACAAATCCCACAAACGTTGCACACCAACCTTAAATTATTTGTACATAAGTCTAAAATCCTGCAGGCAGTATGACGTACGAGTATGTGACTCATTAACATTTATGGTTATGACATGTGTTACGTATGCCCAACCACTGACTGCCCTGACGTGCGATGTTTTATGGTGTAGGAGTAGGTTGGAAGAAAGCTATGGGCGGCCAGACCAAAACATGGCACAAATTTATGAAGTCACTGACAAATGGACTGAGTCATGTTGGTAGGTGTAAACTATCTGGTTGGGATTCGCGAGATGATGGTAATCAATGGTTAGAGACCATGAATGACATGGCTCAAAATCGTTTCAATGGAGCAGGTGCATCTACTCTTTGTGTTCTCCTAAATTCTAATCTTTTAAATTATTTATTTCCTTTTTTTCTCTTTCCGAATTTGTTTCACTGAATTATACTTCTTGAATAACATCTTCAAACCCTAATGTTTCCGATTACTACTTATACTTTTACAACCTCTGCCACTACGGGATTTGAATCGACAATTGCATCTCTGTAGTAATGTGGTATGGCAACTGGAACTGATGTACGTACGTACGAAGTTCTGTGTTATTATTGACTGACTGATGGTTGTGACATTCACCGTATTGTAGAATTCATTTGCAGTGAAAAACTGTGTGAATCCTTAGCTTTTATTCTGACATGGGTATTTTACTTTTCAGCAACCACTTTGGAACCAACTGCTACACTTTTATCGTGATCAGCATTTACTCGTAGAGGGACCCTTAAACAACCTAAGTGAATACATGTTACAGTTTCCTAGACCCAAAGTTCCATACACTTTCAAACCTGGTGGGCATTATTTGGCACAGCTCTCTGCAAATCCCGCATTATTAAATAGTAGTCAGTTAAATGGGCAATTGAATACACACCCCGGAAATCAATTTAATTATCTTTCTCATGTTTCAAATCCGTCTCAACCATGTTTTGATAATCCCAATGGACCTACAGCCTTAGTAGCAGCTATGGCGGCAGCAGCTGCTGCGGCTTACTTTGGAGGATCTGGTTCAAATACACGCCCGAATGTCTCGACCTTAGGATTACATGGGTCGTCAGCACTCAACCAACCTGGAGCAAGCCATGCTGCGGCCTATGCTGTTGCGGCTGCTGCAGCTGCTCAACATCAATCAAGTCAACCGTATTCTAGTCAAACAAATGGTAGTTCCCATAGTATGCATCAACTATTAAACCAGTCATTATTTGACCAGGTTGGGTATATAGGACCAAATCGACAATATGCCGAAGCCAACGCCAGTTCAAGTAAGTAATTCATTGAGTAATATATATATATAAACTCAGTTTCGAGTGAAATATTTTTCGACATTTTATAGTTGATGATTTTACTCATATGAAGACAACAAATGCATTACTTCCGATTTTCAAGTTTCCTGTGGAGTCCTCTCTATTCATAACCGCTTCATGTGATTTTCTGAAGTTTATTGTGAGGATTCTAGTAGTGGTGGTGGTACTCAAGACGCATTTCAACAAGCTTGGTATGGTCATCAAGACCCGTTCTTCATATAGGTCTACACCTAACAATCTTTAGATTTTAAATATAGGTAGGCTGTTTTATAATTTTTATTAGTAAAACACTCATTATAACAGTCAAATAGCTATTGGATGAGTCACATGACATTTCACGCACTTAGCTAATATTTCAAATTTTCCACAAAATATAGTCTCCCAACGACAGCGTGATGTAAACTCGTGTATACGAGGTCATGCACAATTAAGGGCTTGTTTATCGTTCATATACTCTTTGGATTGTTGGCACAACACAGAAGAGGTTAAAATTCGCAAATTTTAGTTACAAATCTAGGAAACTCACCCATTGTAAGGGTGACGTCAAAGTGCTCTTATAAGATAGTTTCTAACAAAGCTTGTCACTACCTCATCCTATTGGGCTTTTTTCACTCGTTTTATCTAGATCTTCCTATGCCACTCAGCATGTTAATGCCTGCTGGTCGAATATCGAATCCTACCAATACAGCAAATCCGTTTGGCTCCTCTGGTCATTTTGGCAATGGAAAATATGGCACCAACCTTGGGGCAGCTGCGCCACTTGGTAGATCAATACAAGCTTTAGGTCCACTAAACGTGCATCCCAACTACTCTCAATTGAATACGGGAAGTACAAGAGCGCCTGGCGGTCCTCTTCCTGGGAATAATGTGGTTGGTTCTGCAGCTCCTCGGTATCTTGGAAATGCACGTCGAAACTTACAGGCTAGTTCACAAAATGCTTCGGTTGGCGCCTCAAAGTCACGTCAAATTGATGGGCCCAATAGTCTGACCAACATTTCTGCGGAACGCGGTAATCCTAATACTTCCAACTCAGGAGCTGGTCTACTTTCTCAACCTGGTTTGTCAGAATTTTCCGGAACTCAAGGCACATCCGGTCTTAGTAACATAGGTGTATTCAGTAGTCAATCGCGCAATTCAGGACTTTCCGGTTTATCTCAGGTAATCTTTGATGCGCACATTAGGTTTTACCGATATACATGGTTGTTTAGTCATAAGGATATTTGTTTCGTAGATCTTTGTGAATAGTTGTGTATTTCTCCTAGCTTTGATTATCTGTTCGCTTACAGGACAACTAAGGTTATTTTTGATGGGTTATTTCCTTAACCTCAATGCAAACCTTCGTAATTCTTTGTTGAGAAATCTTAGGTCTCCGTATTTGCTAACGTTTTTGCGCAGTGCATTCTTATTTTTAATATTTTGTATCGGTTCACTATCAATGTCCATTTCTCGCTTTCCTTATGGATTTTTATTGTCCATATGCAGACAGAATTTTTAATATTCACTTATTGATGCTAGTTTATTACAAATTCACCGACAGGTAAAACATAAAAGCCTTAAAACAATTGTATAAGTTATTTCATTGGTGCCTTTTATTTAAAGTCAAATATCAAATTCTAATTTATGTTTCTAGGAGAGCACTTCGTTGGACTTTCGTCTTGGTCAGGGTGCCAGTCAAATGGACAACTTGCTTCTTTCTCAAGATTCCACGTTTCAAGGTGCAACTGTACCTGCGAGCAAATTAAATTCACAAAGGGGATCAAATTTGTTCGCTACTGGAAGCGAAGATCATACCAACATAAATTTCGATTCCGGTCTGGTTAATGGGACCGATCTAGAAAATATTGGTGTCTCTCAAAACGCAGTCAGCTGTGCGAGCAGTGGTGCACCGCTCTCGCAGTTTTAAGAATCTCTTCCGGCTTAACTTTGGGCCGCGTGTCAATGATCATCAACGAACACATAGTTTCCCAAGGGTGTCTGTCTACAGACATCTGCAGCAGCGACGACGGAATAAATCGATTATTCGGAGTGCATCACTTGGAAGTACAAAAAATTAAAAAACCAACATGCACTCCGAAGACTGCACTACATGTTTTTAACCTCCTGACTATACTAATTCGTATAAATATTTGGTTACAAGGTGTTGACTGTCATTATAAACCCTTCAATATACAATGCTTTTATTCTACTAAAAACCCGGTTGCCTTTCAACTTCAAAAAAGGAAGAATGTGATGCAGTTTGTAACTTCTATTTAAGACTAAAATGTTTTGTCGGTTCGTACGACGCGTTGTTCTAACCCCGTCCTCCTGTAGTTCGAACGCATTTTCAGATATAAAGTCTTCGTTTCTTCGAAAAATTGAGGATCCTGTAGGCTGGAATCATGAATTTTTTTTATTTTTTCTTACTATCTTTTGTTGCACTCTAAAGCCTTATGAAAGTCCGTCTTGCAAATGTATATCGCTGCCCAGTAGTAATTTTGTGTACAGTTTGACCATTCTGAAAACATGGAAGATTCAGTAGTGAATAATACTTACCATCCCAAAGCTTCGCGCATTGTTTCGTTCTCAGTCTGTCTTGCATAAGCGCTGGTATAAGGCTCTCCTCTTCAACTTTCGTGATTTCTTTACTTTCAGGGTCACCTGCAGAAGGGTTGAAGTGTCAAAGTTTCAGCAACCAGCTTAACATTCAAAATTGCAACCAAGCTACAGTAATACAAATTATTAGTACAGAATTTATGACAGGTACACCTTGGAAGTTAGAGTAATTGTTCGGTCTAACTGCAACGCACTGGGTTGCGAATCGAGTACTCAAATCCATAGCGGTGTTAGCTTTCTTACATACCATCGGAATCCTTAGGAAAAGCCGGAAGCAAACGTGTCGGAGATAACTTACCGCTGGTGTCGTAGAGTAATCGCTAATGTATGATGTGACCACTTGGTAAACGAAGTTGGAGTTAAACCTAGATTACTAAGTAAGGCTTGCAACTCATTTGGAGGGATAATCGAGGAGTGGATTGGTTTCGTTAGGATACGTTGTGTGAAATGAATAAAACGAGAATAGCCGAACCTTAGATTAACCGATTGTAGATCGGAACAGGATGAAAATGCGAGTCTCTCGGTCGAAGATCGGTTCTTGGGCTTACATGCGTTTCTTAGGTCCTAAATATTGTTGCCTTGTTTGTCTCCGTATTAACCATTGAGGATTTCCTCGTTCTGTTTTGAATCATGCGTCTCACCCTACATTGTTTCTAAATCTGATATGCCTTGATACGCACCAGTGATAAGTTGCACAATCAAGAGTATGTAATCTTATTTATGATTTCAATTTCGACTTACCTAGGCCCAATGGGCCGCTTATGTTTTCTGACGGGATCAAGGTAAATTCTACACTTTGACGTTTGGAGAAAAGGGTACCCATTCACAGAAGTCGTCTGTTTTAATTTCTGAGAATTGTGTGATATAAAGCAACTATGGTTCGAAACTGCAGCAGTTAACCATCAAATCTATCGGAAATAGACAAACATACTAAAAATTTCAGCAACTCTTAGAAACGGTAGATGTAGCGTTTTTTGCAAGTCACTCGAGATTAAGGAGAGTTGCAATTCCTAACAAGATCTTACCTGAGGTTCCCAACTTGGTTACATGGTTTAACAATGACGCATGTGAACAAACTTTTCGTGTAAACATTACGAGGCTGGTGGGTGCCTTTTTTGTACCAATGTATGGCGTATAGTTCTTATAGACGGATGGTGTCTTTGATGATGGGGAGATCAGTGGACTTTGGCTGCTCTACTGTGAAACACCTAGGTAAGGTGCCGCATATTAAATTTTTCGAAGGCGGACAATATGCGAATTGCTGGATCTCTGTATAAGCGGAACAAAAATTTTTCTGTAGTTCGCCGATAAAAGGCAAGAACAGGTGTTTTCCATGGAACCCAGCACTTATTGGAGTACCGCAAACGCCTGTTCCAAGTCCCCTACTTTTTATACATCAAGACCGCAGCCCAAACCTGTGGGCTTTAAGAGGGACATCTCTTAAGTTGAATGATCATCATAATATGCACAACTCTAGTACACTGAGCAGGCAACTTGATGACATTCACTCTGGCCTTGGTCCTTTATCGAGAGGAGGGTCATGAGTGAAGACCATTCGGAAATAAGTAACCACGACTTCTGTCTTGTCTTCCTTTACACTTGAGATGCACTCCCTTTAGTTATTTAATTTGGGAATCCACGGGCGCGTTTTTGTCCTATATATGATGCAAGAGGATGGTCGTCTCAACTATCTCGTTACAGGTTATGTCAATTGGCTTTCAGATTTCTGCTGGACTGCACGGACTGTGTTTATACACTTACCTCAGGTTCACTTGTAACGCTCCATTATATTTGCTATTCCAGGGCTGATAGCGACAATTTCGCTTCTGTCTTGGTAAACGTCGAACTCAACGGTCTAACCGGGGGCGGTCGTGTTTTTTAATTTTTCGGGACTGTCCAGGTTATAAACGGTTGAGTTACTTGGTTGTATAACTGCCGTAACTGACTCCATGCCTCTTTTCTTTGATGCATCCGATTCGATTTTCCCATCGGTCGAGGCCACAGAGTTCATCGCCTTTATGCTTGACAAACCACAGCAGCAATGAACCTGATTAGGATAACCGCATGATCACCCCTTCATATAGGTGAGAAGTACTGACATCACCGTGATTTAAAAATAAATCCAGGACAGAAGAGTGCTGGAGACCACATCTAGTGGGACCATAGTGGCCAGGACTAAAGCTAGGGCAATTGGAATTCCTAGTACTTTGTTATCTAATGTTTACAATGACCTTATGCAATGATAGGGGGAGCATTAAAGTCGCCTACTATAAGACTTCGGCAATCGGTTTGACCAGGATGTACGTATGTACATCGGTCCGAGTCGCAACACCCGTTAGCACAATGAGATGAAATTGTCAAGCGAAACCCCTTAATAGTAGAGGTAGTAACAGAAAACATTAGCCATCGAATAAAAAACTTGAAAAGAAAATATAAATCAGTGAAAAGCATTATGAGGAGTTTACAACCTCAGGATTTACGAAAGGCAAAATATGAATGCCCCGGCAATGTGCTGTCGTCTTAAGACGACGGTCGCAGCGAAGGGGTTTCGAACCCTCTGAGCATTAATCAGGCATTCACTAAGCTAGATACTACCATGTTCACCAAAGTATACACATCCTTAGTGAGAACTAAGCTGCAAGCCCCTGTTTAAAATGTGACTTGGATATCTTAGAAAAAGTACAGAGAGCATCTACCCGTGCGATTGCAGAACTCCGGGTTTACCACACAAAGAGCGGCTTGAAAAGCTAGATCTCTTCACTCTGTCCTATCGCAGATTAAGGGGAGATCCAATTTTGATGTACAGAATACTTAGAAATGACTTTGGACATAACTTATCCTCTTTTTCTTCCCATTAAATCGGGACATAGCATGCGAGTAGAAAAGCCAAGAACGAACAAAATACCTGTGGCACACAGATTTTCACACCGACACTTTCAAGAGAAGACTGGACACTCGCAGAAGCATACTAGAAAAGAAATAACATAAGCCGTAGGCCTTTTGTCCTTACTATGCGAATCTGATATTTTGGTTTCGAGTCGTTTTTCAACCAAACACTTCATGTTAACTATAAAGTATTACAAATCGTTCACAAACTTCCATCAATTAGCTGCTAGCTAATTATTAGGAATGTGGAGATAGGCATGACAAACTTATTTTGTAAATAGTTCTTGATATTATTTGCAAAGTACATTTGTCATGCTTATCTCAAATGAATCAAAACAGCCCTATTTAAGGCAACCGGTAAACTGTAGCTTACACAGTTTGTTTTATAAGCAATGGTTATTGATGTCAAACATAAAATGTCGGCATAATTAGTGTTATACCAAACTAACCACGACATTGAAGAACAGAACATGTAAAGTAGCGTCCTTTACATAAAGTGCGCTTACAAAACTACTCTTCAGTAATGAGAATAGTAAATTGATGGACCTGAGCTAATTCCTACAGTTTTGTAACCTTACCATTAAGGGTTTTCGGGTAGTCAGGTCTTGGAGGCCAATGCTTCCGAGGCCTGTATGGGTAAAACGAATGATCACCAAAACACCTTAAGTGTGTGCTATACAAACGCACATAGTCTTAGAAATAAAACGTCCGAGCTAAGTCTGATGGTGGATGAATTAAGTCTGGATATAATTGTTGTTACAGAAACTTGGTTCACCGTAGATACAGAATGTTCTCCCATCATCGCAGGCTATGTCTGTATAAGAAGTGATAGTTTTAAGTTGCAAGCGAGGAGGAATATTGTTGTACATTAGGGATCACTTTCGTATACAATCGACCACATCAGAGACTCATGTTAGTAGTACATGTAGGGTAGCATGTTGCCAGATTAAATCTAGAAATGTGTTAGTGACTATAAGGAGAATATACCGTAGTCCGTGTTGTCTTCCTGACGACTTTATCTTAAAACACATCTGTTCTTGGAGTATGGCAGAGTGTTGTCTCATGATTGGGGACTTCAACTCACCGCATATCAGCTGGATAGAGCTTACAGCTCCAGGCGGGGGTTTTGATAGCGACTTTTTATCAACCGTTATCTTGTGTGCACTAGTGCAATGTATCGCAAAACCGACACATATTGACTTGGAATATGATCCGTCACAGCTGGACCTCACCCTCACCCACCACTGTGAAGATGACTTTGATATCCATCACCTTCCCCCACTGGTGAACAGGGGTCACTTTGTACTGTGCCTTAACTTTAGGACACATGGTGAGGGTCAATGGAACGCTAGCCTATTGAAAGCCGGGCAAATGTGGCGTGCCCCAAGGCACCACCTTAGGCCCTCTGCTCTTCCTTCTTTACTTTAACGAGTTACTGCTGTTGCTTAGGTCGTCGACATTATTATTTGCGGATGACGTAAGAATCTGGAGGCTGATCATGTGGATCTCCAAGCTGGCTTAGACGATTTAGTTAGATGGGCTCCAGGTTGGGGCTTAGAAAACAATTTCAGGGAAAGTGTCCTAATGCACATCGGTCACGGCAATAGTTACCATTATACTATTGATGGTAAACCTCTTCCATGCGTTCAAGAACATGAAGACTTTGGAGTAATTATAAGTCGTGACTTAAAAACAACTACGCATTGCAACGCAGCAGCTGTCAAAGGTTTTCGTGCGTTATGGTCAATTCACCAAGAGTTCAAATCTTTTGACGAGGAAATGTTTTGCATTTTATATCCCACCTATGTAAGACCACATTTAGAGTACTGTATCCAAACAGCTAGCCCATGTCTGATAAAGGATACTAACTCACTTGAGCGTGTCAAGCGTGTGGGAACAAAATTATTGAAGGAACTTTCTAAACTCCCCTACGATGAGCGTTAAAAACGCCTAAACCTTTTCTTCTGTTGTATCGTGGGACGCGAGGTGATCTTATACTGGCATTTTGTAGCTTTAATTATGATTTGGGTGTTAATATGTCTTACCTTTTTTGCTCCCTCCGGCTCTAAAAATCTCCGAAGTCATAGCAAGAAGGTTCACAAACAGCCATCTAATAAACTTAGAGTGGGGTCTCGTTTTTTTCATCGAGTAGTCAATGACTGAAACGCCTTACCCGAACAAATGGTAAACGTCCCATGGGTGAATATTTTCAAGGAAAAGCTTGACCTTCACTAGAAAGCAATCTGTCAAGATTAACATAGGTTCACCAACCTACTATACCTATTACTGAAGACTGAACAAGAATCTGGCTTCTGTCTAAAAGTATTCACCGATTAGGGCGACATCACTTTGTGAGGTATGAAAATTCACCCAGTAAACTTGAATCGAAAGAGAGGACGCGTTTTCTTGAAGTGTATGCCGATTCCATATGGTTTAAGAGAGGCTGTGAAGAACGAGTCACATAAACTGGTTGGACAATAGATAATAGTCTAAATGGACTACTCCCATTAAACTCCATTAAGGACGGATGGAAAAACTCCTAGAATTTGTGATTAGTTCTTAACACTGTGTACTCGTTTATTGCGACAGAGCTGTATAACTGAAGAATCTGAAGGCATTCTATGTAAATTACGAGGGCCAAACTATTTTTCTAGAATTACCTGAAAGGTGTGTATTTTCAAATTCCATTGGATGAGATCTCTAGTGAACTAACTTCTATTAATACACCATTCTAGCTGTTCAGGTAAAAATTCCGTTTGCTCTGGTTAAATGTCTCCCCTGCAGTGTTTCAGAAAGTTATAAATCAGATTATCCCCGGTCTTGATGTTTTTTCTAGTAATTCACTGCTCGGCGCAGTGAACTTTTTTAATTTCCTCTCAGATGATCAGTCCTCGACGCGAGAAAAAATATGAAAAACTGATACCAAGGTTATTGTTCAACAAATGATTAACCAATATTAGACCCCTCCATATCCTACGGCAAGTTAACGGTCTTCATAAGATAGACCAGATAGACCTTTTGCCATCTTAGTCGTGATAGGCCTTTTCAAAAACAGTGTTGTTTCCTGGATAAAAGATTATGCTCTTCCACATAGTTTATAACAGATATCCGAATAACCTTTTTAGATCAGTTTTACAACTGAACAAGTCAAGCTAACGGGCCTATAGTTACTAGCTAAATCCCTACTCCTAGCCTTATTCACCGGACTTATTAACTCATCTTTCCAGGCTATTGGCAGTATCGATAAAGATCCAGCAATTATATTTGATAAGACTATCACAATCCTAGGACGAATATCATCGGGACCACTGTACTTATCAGGTCTGAGATGCTAAAGTGGTTATAAGACAGTACCATTCTCAATGAACACATGGTTCATCAACGAGTCACCACAATCACAGTGAATCTTTGATCGTTTTACATTACTGATGGAAAACACTTTACTGGAATATTTCAACAAAGCTTCAGCTTGGTTGTCATCATTTCTTGCCTATATTAACGGATTCTCCTGTATAAAAAATGATGGAATTCCATCACTTCACTGAGTTTCGTACTGTATTTGCAATCACTAACCAATTGTTTTTCATATGACCGTTGAGTATTACTTGTTAACGCTTTACAAGCACTCCTAATCTTACAATAACTGGGCCTGTACTGTTCCAAGCCAGTAGATATGAACATATTCTAGTGTTTTTTCCTGTGTCTAAAACGTTTTTGACTTGTTTAGTTATCTATGGTGGACTGTTATTAGGTTTACGTGGTACCAGGTATGGTATGAACGAGGACGTAACTAAACTGAACTTGTCTTCCAATATAGACCATGTTTCTTTAACTGACGAGCTTGTATCTACTGACCAATCTGTCTTAGTAGCTCAATCATGAATGGCCGACATGTCAGCTCTCCATATATTTGGGCGAGTTTTAACTCGATCGTAAATCATGTCACTAGCTCTAAACGTGACTGACAAAACAGCGTGGTCGCTATTCACTAACGATGGAAGAATATTTAGGTCGGTAATATCCCCAGTCGCATGAGTGTTTACCGGGTCCAACAGAGGAAAACGTTGGTTTGCAACAAAACGTGAGGGTTTGGAAACATACTGTACTAATGCATGCTCCACTACTGTTATCAGGAACCTACTATCAAAGGAGTTTATAGATCCGTGGTCATCTCAATTCAACGAATATCAGGTGCATTAAAATCGCCTCATATCAAGCATATGTTATTTGCACTTCATAGCTGAGTGTGCTCTAAAATAAAGTCATCAGCTAAGCAGAGTGGGCTACGATAGTTGAGACCGAATATGAATTTACAACATCAGATAATTAGCTCACAGCTAATGACTTCACAAGTTCCACTATCATGGAGTTCACAAGCATAAAGGCGGATATTTATATTACTGCTATGTATAAAATGACGCGACCACACTTCCTACATCTATGTCTATCACTTCTTAGGTAGTATTATCCGGATAAATTTGGAGTAATGTCAAAGGTGTGGACTTACCAAGTTTCCGTCACAGCTACAATAAGTGACCTTAATTTGTCTGCTAGCGCTCCTAGTTCATACAATTTATTTCTTAGATTACGAGCATTTGCACTTAAAACTTCTAGGGATAAGACCTATTTACTCGGGCCTTAGTGGAATACACTTCAGAGATGCAATCAGTCGAAAACCCACTAATCAGCGATTTTATTTACTATTTTGACGATGGGTTTCTAGTTCAGCTAGTGCTGTCTTATTTTTCGTTCTGTCTTCAAGAGAAATATCAGGTCTTACTTGAATGTCGGTATTGTCACGAATACGAGAGCTACTTTACAGATCACGTTGCTTCTCCGATCATAGGATTACCTTAAAAAGTCTATATGGTCATGGTTCAACAATTTCATCGATCCTTTTACCTATTCTAACCACATGTTTGACCTGAACTTCTTTAAAGTTAACTAGCGAGGTGCTATGGATATAATCTGCAAGCATCTTTAAACCATGTGCGCGTCTAATTTTGAGATCAGGGTCGTTTGACTCCAGCAAATTACTCACAATACCATTCTATGAGATTAAATTCTTCTTAGTCACGCCATTTTTCATCACTAAGGGCAGCCGCACCGGGACTATTTTGAACGGTGATGGTTTTATCCGGGCCTTCAACTTCCACTGAAGATGTGTAGGTCAGCAGCGTAGATGATCTATGTCTAATGATTGGGGGCCTACCAAAATGAGACGGGAACGGTTTGACGAACCGGCAACGTCGAAGTTGCACCACACGGTCAGCACTTTACGTGGATTACCTCGTCGGCGTATCGAGGTACGATCGATGCTTTGAAGATTGCACAACACAAAGGGTGTTATTGCAGAAATATATTAGTTGAAGTAGATACAAGCAAGAGTAAGACCATCACCGCATGGGCCAGCCCATGGCATTTTAGTACACAAAATACAGGGTTTTTATAGTATTTTAGATCTCCTTGGGTTTCCCGAAAGTTCTGGAATGCTACTAAACATA